AGTTCTGACATGAAGTAAAACACAACAGTACCTCCTCAACTTCCTCGACCGCTCCAACCTAGCCCAAGCCCGCCAGGGCACCCTCGAACGGGACCTAGGCATGACGGGAACCGACTTCAACCTCGCCACCTCAATCTTCTTTGTCGGCTACCTCCTGATGCAGCTGCCCTCCAACCTCTTACTCACAAAAGTCAAACCCTCCTTCTACCTCGCCGCCTCCTGCTGCCTCTGGGGCGTCGTCTCGACCTGCAACGCCGCCGCCGACTCCTTTACGCACCTAATCGTCATCCGCTTCTTCCTCGGCTTCGTCGAGGCGCCCTTTTTTCCGGGTGCCGTCTTCCTCATGTCCTCATGGTACACCCGCGCCGAGCTCACCCGCCGCATCGCCTACCTCTACGCCGGCAACGCCCTCGCCAACATGTTTGGCGGGCTCCTCGGCGCCGGCATCCTAGGCGGTCTAGAAGGGGACTTGGGTATCGCGGGGTGGAGGTGGTTATTCATTATTGTGAGTCATCGCTGTCTCTCCTGTGTGAGAATGATTTCAAAGTGTCCAAAAAGAGAGAATGACTGACATGGCAATATATCGACACAGGAAGGCGTGGCAGCCATCGCATTCTCCCTCGTCGCCATGTGGATCCTCCCAGACTACCCTCACACGACCAAGTGGCTCTCGGAGGAGGAGCGCGCCTACGCCGCCTGGCGCCTCATCGAGGACATCCAGGAGGCCGACACGTACGGCGAGCAAGGCATCCTCGACGGTGTCAAGATGGCGGTGCGGGACTACCGCCTCTACATCTTTGTCCTGATGCAGCACGTCTCCCTCATCTCGCAGACGTTTCAGTACTTTTTCCCAACGATTGTCGGCACGCTGGGCTACGGCAAGATTACGACGCTTTGGCTGACTGCGCCCGCGTGGGTATGTTTGACTTCTTCCATAAATTACCTTGATTTTTCCGTCTTGTTACCTTGTGAGGGGTTTCGAGAAACTCTCAACTTACACACTCTTTTCCAATAGGCTGCGACGTTCCTCATCTCGCTCTGCGTCACTTGGTCCTCCGCAAAGACCAAAGACCGCTCTCTTCACATTGTATGCCTCACGCTCGTCTCCGCCGTCGGGAACGCCATCGCCACCGGCTCGAGCAACCTCGGCGCGCGGTACTTTGCCATGTTTCTCATGCCCATGGGCGCCATCTCCGCATGTAAGTTCCCTGGTGGCAGTTAACATCGCCTCCTCCTCCTCGACAGGGAACATGACGTCTGACACAGTCGTACTCCAATAGATCAAATCATTGTATCCTGGGTAGCAAACTCCTTCCCCCGACCACTCGTCAAGCGCTCAGCCTGCATCGCCATCGCCAACATGATTGGCAACACGGCAACAATCTACGGATCCTACAGTGAGTAACAGTCCTCACAACCTTTCTTCTCATCAAACCTCAAAGCGGGAGCTTGACTGACTGACTAACCAAAATCAAAAAAGTGTACCCAAGCAGCACGGGACCCCAATACGTCCCCGGCGGCAGCGCCAACACGGCAATCTGCGTCCTCGTCGCCATCCTCGCCCTCGTCCTCCGCTACCTGCACAAGTGGGAGAACAAGAAGCTCGAAAAGGCCGAGCTCGACGACGCCGCCGCGCTGGCCGAGGGAGGTGGCGAGAAGACCGCGCCCGTCGATCTGAAGCAGGAGAGGAGGGCTGCCGGGTTCAGGTACATCTACTGAAGCAGAAGATAGTTGAATGGGCATTTCGTTACCGTTGTATGTCGGCGAGAGTTGTAGCTTCTCTGCGTTTTTGTGCTAGGCCGAGTTTGAAAGATAGCCCTACTTCTGTTGATGGCTTTTCTGGACGGGAATTTCCTGCCGTAGAAGGCCTTGATGAGTTAAGATACCTCACAGCTTCGAGTTGAGAATGAATGATGCCAAAGACCCCGTCAAAAGTCAGCCGCAAGCTTCTCCTGGGCCTGGGAATGGATCACTAGAGACCTTTTGTGTCAAGTGTCTATCGGAAGTGAATGTTTCTTGAAATATCAATCACGCTAGGAAGACAATCCTGTCGAGCAGTCTCCGCCATACGGTATCCAGCCTATTGAGACTTCTTGGAGTACGGAACGGAGATGATGGCATGTAGATTTGTCCGATGTTGTAGTGCTCATTCAATGACATACCAGTTTAGCGTTGCAGAGGTCTTAAGTGCTGCGTTCCATTGAAATTGGAGAAACGCCGCTCTCGGGAGGGTCAACATCATCTTACAGGAGCAATTAATAGATCAAAATGATTGGATCACACGCAGAGACGAAATTTCTCGATATTGGGTATAACCCACAGAGACATCAATATCGAAGTTGGCAGATATCTCCTAGAATGAAGTCAAGTACAAATTGTCTCGCTTGTTTTCCAACACGCAGTGCTCGAATCCGCTCAAAGTGCCGCTTTCTATACAACATCAACTTGGTCCTTATAAATGACTTCTGTACTTTCTCCTCGAGTCTCGGATTGGCTCTGCGTCTAGCAAAGACAATATGGACCTTAGTACTCTCGTGGATCATTCTCTCCAAAACAGTTTCCCGTTCTCTCGGAATAAGGCGGTCTCCACTACACCTTCACCCATGGCTCCGACTCTACGTATCTGATTGACACGGTCGGACTTACGTGTGCCACCCCAGTCACCTATAGTGTCAAGCTGTAGTAACTCCAGGCGGCAGCCTTGTCCACATATTGTCTCCCAGATCGACTTAGCAACTTCCGCAGGTGTCACCCCCGCCGCATCTGCATCTATCGTTGTTTCGAATTTTCTCTGATACGCACGAGCTCTTCGTCTACATCCGCCATCTCCAGCCCGCACTTCAAGTTCAGAGTGTCGAAGTGTAAGGTAGAGATTTCGGAGGCTCCGCATCCGCCCGAGAGACTCGCACGCCTCTGTCATCTCTGGTGAGCTCGTCTGGAACGTAGGCACGGTGATCGTGACTGTCAGGTCCCGCACGCAGATGCATGTCTCCGACAGCACGCACAAGTCCTGCGGCGCGATTCTGGGATACTCCTGCCTGGAATGAGAGCCGTAGGAGGGGCGAATGCTTAGTTTGCGCAGAGATCCTCCGAATTTAGACAGCGCAAACTGTACGGCTGGTGAAGGTACTCGACCCTCGAGCGAGAGGGATGTTAAGGCTGGCATGATGGCTAGAAACTCAACAGCCACGTCTCCACGATTTGCGACCCCCTCCCAAGCAGGTCGGGGGCCAACGATGACTTCATTGTAGTTTAACTCCAGACTTTCGAGTTGGTGGAATCTGGCATGCGTCGTAAGCCATGGTAACTCTCCAGGACTTGCAGTCAATCTCAGATGACGCAGTGCCGCGAAGTCCGTTGCCTTGAACCACGCCATGAACCTATCGGGGTTGGTTTTCTGTAGTGTCAGAGAACGCAGTGAACCGAGCTCTGACGACTTCAAAATCTTTGACAGATCCTTCCCAGGTATGAGACTGTGGTCGAGTGTTTGCACGATCAATGCTTGCAACTCATTCTTGAAATCTGCGTCGTATTTTCGCTTATGTCTGCCTCCGAAGAATGGTTCCAGCTTTACTGTCTTGAGATTCGGCGATAGGCCTCCGATGAGATGTAGCATTACCGATTCGTTTGTATGTGCAATGGACGTCTGGTAATACTCTTTTATAGAGATACTATGCAATTGGGGCGCAAGAAGAAGTGCAACATCATGCGCGTCAAGAGCAGCGCCTTCGCTGCAGTGAAGATCGAAACCATTGATTTCCAACCGACAATTCGGGTGGTGCGTGCGAATGGTCTCGAGGAGAAGAGGCGAAAAGCTGCTTTCGTGTTCAATGACCATGTTGGTCAGTCCGGGCAGGGCTTCGAGCAGTCTGATCATGGGAGTCCACGCTTCGGGATCGACAAAGGCATCGCGGAGGCGTCGGTTCTCGGGTGACTTGTGCTTGAAATAAAACGAGTTCTCCTTTCGAACTGGTAGTATCATGTGTCGGTCAGGCGAGTAGAGATCGCTGTGAGGGAGCGACTTGTCTAGAAAGGTCATCCTCAGGCGCCTGACATGCCTGGCTGAGTTTGTGCGTCCCAGGACTGCGAGCCAGGAATCGACATCGCGCTGTAGCCTCCGAGGATGCTTGACGAGGATGTGGATATCGCGGAACAAGAAGCAAGTGGCGGCTGCATGGAAGGCTTTGTTGGTGAGGGAAAAGGAGGACAAATCCGGCCCAGCAATGCCATCGAGATGCCCCGCGATGCTGATGAGGGTCTCAGCCGGAAGTATATCCAGTATTCTCGCGGCCATTGTCGCTTCAGTCGCTCGAGTGGTATCGCAGTCGCAAAAAAAAGCACTCGACGAGGATGAAGAAGGATAATCAGAGACATCGTGGGTAGGCTTGCGTCAACAGGAGACAGAAACGTGTTGGACGAGGGAAAAAGCACCTCCTCGGGCGCGAGGTTGGCTCACTTGCATTGTTTGCTTGAGAAGAGTGGATTTGGAGTCCTGATAGGGAAAGGGAAGGATTGGTTGGTGCAAGAACGCACACCAAGCCCGTCACCAACCAACGACAATCAGGAAGTCGGAAGTCTTGGGCCGGCTTCCAACCGACGCGGGAACGGAAAAGACGCCGGGCTGGGAAGGTGTTGGCCGAGACAGTTGGTCAAACCGTCAATGTAGGCGAGCTCTGCTTTTCCAGTGGCCAACTGCAGCTTGGCTGCTCAAAGTACCAATGATGGAAGTGATTACCTCAGAAGAGACAGCCTGGGAGAGTTTCCACATGCAGCATCCCCGTGACCATGATGACTTGAGAGAGATAGCCATCTAAACACAAGCCCGAGAAGCCAAGCAGAGCCTCAATTAGGTTGGTGACGAATGAAGGGGAGTTATTCATCTGTCAGAAGGGGGGTAGCTGACAGCTCAGCGTTGGTTTGCCGGTCTGAGACACATCTCAATTAATAATGTCTCTGCTTAAGCGAAGCGGCACAGCTGTCTTGCGGCTTGCTTGGGTCATTCACAACTCCCCGTCGGCATTTCCCATCGTAAATCCGGTGCCTCTCCATCCCCATGCGATAACGTAGTGGTCAGCCAACAGCTTCCACTCCTCCACCTCGTCAAGGCCCTCTAAACGGTCCACTCTCTCCTTTTCCTCACTTGGCACCCAGCTTTCCCAAATCCGTTCCACGGTCAGCGCCTTGGCGTGCTCGAAGCCTGCATCGCGCAGACGCTGCGTCTGATCCTGCGGCAGCTTATAATTCTCCAGAGTAGGCATGCGGATTCTCCTTGCTGCGAGGTTGGAAGTCATCATCTTGCCGAAAGGGTCGTCAGGCCTGATTGGTTCGTACACCACAATGGCGAGATTAGGAACCTTTTGCTCAAACAAAGATACAACTTGCTTCGTTGTAGATGTCTCTAGGTAGCAGAGACAACATTCTGAGATGAGTAGAGTAGGAATATCTGTTCTGATGCCCGCAAGAGGCGTTGCGCCGTCCTGCACCATTTCTCGGAGATCCCGCCCATGACAATAGTATTTGTCTGATGCGGACGGTTGACAGCTCCACGAACCGTCTTCCTCAACCGAGGGGACTCCGAGGATGTTTCGCAATGGAGGGGCTGCCTGCACTATACGTGCCTTCTTGCGAACTGTGACTGAGAAGTCTATTTCATGGTAGACCAGCTGAGGCCTTTTTGCTCTAGGAAAGAGGCGAAACGGGCGGGTGTCAGTGCCGGCACCTAACGAGATGATTTGTCTCTCATTCGAACCGGGTTGCGCATTGTTTGCCTCGTCCAAGAAGCTGTCAATGAGGTTGTCGAGAGCAACGGTCCTTGTATAAGTGCCTGAAATAGAGGTCAGCCTCCATACTCGACGGAAGCAGACCAGAGACACGGACCTCGATTGATGATTGGGAGTCTCCTCGGAGGGGGACCATTGATGTTATCGACAAAGAAGTGTGCGTAGGGGTCGGCGAGATATCCCACATTGACAGCACTCAAACGCGAGCCGGCAGCGTCATCGTCAGTTCCCTGAATCGTCTGATCGTGAGTCGGGCCCGAGGATGAGGGGCCGCCGCCGGGACCTCTTCCGCGCCCGCGACCGACTCGGCCACCTCTCGCTCCGCGAAGGGAAAGTAGGTTTGGTATCGGATTTCCAGACATGAGGGATGTTGTTGCGGGGGCCGGGTGTGAGGTGGAAGATGTTCCGGGAGCAGCGTTCGTGAAGTGTAGGTGCGGGTGACGTAGGAGGGGAGGGAAACTGTTAGGTGGGGCATCGTAGTGCAACGCTGAGTCCGATCAATCAGTGGAATAGGGTATGGCCCGTGCCCAAACGCCTCCAACGGTCCGGAGCCGGCTCCGTCGTCCACTAAGATAGAACCGGTGCCTGTAACTCCCGCAACATTGTCTTCCCTAGTCTGCTGAAAGAGTGTCTTAAGTTATTCGTGAGAGTCTTCAAAGGACGAAGGAAATTTCGAGAATCTCTCCATGCATTGTGGAGGTTTAGCTAACGCTCCGGATCCCCAGCTCAACTATGTTCCAAGTATCAAATATTCAAAACCGCTAAGCAGTCATACTACACCTTGTAATCCCATTTCAGTACTCACTTCTCATACAAGGATTCAAATTTCGAATTTCAAGACTAGTTGTGCAAGTAGTCTTTATTAGTGCGCTTCCTGCGAAGATCGAGGATTTAGAAAGATGCAGAAGCTGCCTAGTACCTTTGGTGTTGAAATGGGACGAAGCTCCTAGGATTCACTAACACCTGAACCGGATCTATTCGTCTCTTCTCTTTTGAGTCCACACTGATAGCATGATATCATCTTCGGTTGACCTGTCGACTAGTTTAAAACGCCTCGAAGCGATGTAGCCATATCACAAGCGTATTCCTTTTGCAGGAGACAGCGCTAGCTTCGATCCGTTACCTCCAGGAATGCCTTGTCAGTAAGCCCGGGAATTTGGTGCCAGCCCAACCGGTACCGGACTCACTTTCGATCAAAATCACCAACGACCGATTCATTCGGATATCACGATCCAGTAGGATGTGTTGAGAGCCCAAAGTGTGACGGCTTCGGACAGGACCAACCACTCGTAGGTAAAAATTGTGAAATTTGGCACTAAATGCCAAATACCAACACATTCTCCGCCACTAGTCCATGCAGTTTGCCTACGAAATCAATACATGACCACGAGAACGTTATCTATGCGTATTACTATACCAACACAAATGCTCATGGATCTGTTGGGACGGTTGAAAAAAGCCTGCACATAGACTTGGATACGAGAACATCAAAGCTCGGCTCTGGATGAGTTGTACTCGAATTAGGTATGATGTAGTCTGCTTGGATGTAGTCTGCTTGGAGCATGGAGATCAATGGGCTATAGACACAACTAACAAAGACACTACTGACGGGGGCCAACGTCTACAAGGACCCCAAAACAAATGTCCGAATCCTTTCGGATATGTCGGGGTTGGGCACCTCAAGGCCGAATAAGCTTCAGGAACACGCGCCGCTCGTTATTCGACGGTCTACAAACTTTGTTGGAGGGATCGTCCGATGTCACGGATGGCATAGAGACTTTTTCGAAACCGACGAACCACAGAGTGCGAGGCCAATCATGCAAATACAGGACACACAGAGGCCGCAAAAGCTGGCGAGGCTCTTCAGTGCACACTAGACATAGGAAAGGCCAAATATCCAAGTTTCATGCAGGCGGCCTCCTCCCCCCCAAAGACCAAATGGTGAACAGAGCCGTCACGAAATAAGGCGACGCAAGCGTCGTATATTCTGAAAGTCGACAGCCTCGTAAATAAGTCAACTTTGGCTGGGCGCCCACGCATTACCTGATCCCAACGAACAAAATGGAAGAAGCAAATGGAAGAGCGAGAGCCGGCGTGAAGTTGTACACATTGCAGGTAAGCAGGCACGCACGCGGGCGGCACGAAAACTTAAGGTAGTTCCAGCAAACCAACAGCCCTGCCCAGCGGCACTGCTCAAAGCCCAGATAGTCATGAACTGACAACTTAATCCCTTTGTAGTCTTGGCTTCAATTCGGAAGATCACTTTCGTGTCCTTCGCTCTTCGTCACTCGTCGCTTGTTTCTCGCTTGTCCGAAAGTCAGAGGTCGTATGGCGCGGCGCATCGCTATGGTTCCGTTCCACAATACAGTCCATTCCGTTGGCTGCTGGGGAGGCGAAGTGTTCAATGTGGAAGGATTTAGTGGGCTAAAGGGGGAGGGGGGGGGGGCACGGAGAGTGGCTGTGTCAGCCTGCTGCCTGGTGAAAAGCTGCCGCTATCCATTAGGTCGTGCATCCACGCCTCCCCAAGATCCCGGGGCGGCGTACTTCCTTGGGTACGGATAGCAGTAGCTTCCTCTGCACCTCTGCAAGGTACTTTCTTCCCTGGTGTGTCTCACGCGTCACAACAAAGTACCCTGGATTGAGGTAATCCCCCCGACGCAGGAGCTGCGCAGTGACCAGTGACATGTTCAAGTGAATCGCCGCCTAGAGCTCGTTTCCCTTTTGACGTCTGACACCCCTCCATTTCCCAACGATCCATTCTTTCCCTTCATTTAAAAGAACCTTCAAACTCCAACATTTGTCCTTTCTCAGCATCATCATCATCGTAGTTTTGATTTTGGGAGCCAAATAAACCGCAAACATGTACACGCGGCTGCAGCACTTTGCCGACGCCGTCTATAAGAGGGCCGTCGAAGAGACGCCTCGCGAACCCGAGATTCCCGGCTGGTCCTTTTGGGTCTTCCTCGCCGACTTCATCGTCTTCCTCCCCATCATCCTCTGGGTAAGCCTTGTCTCCTCCCCTTCGACTTTCGAGGCCTCCTTCAAACCTGGCCTTCATATCATGAACCTGTTCTCACTAACACGTGCACCGTCTAGACCTCCTACACCCTCCACCAGGTCTACCCCATCTTCGCCATCGTCGAGGACGAGAACCCGCCCGCCTACGACCCCGTCAACCTCGCCGAAGATGAAGGCGCCATCCCCTCCGCCGGCCCCGAGGTTCGCCCCGACGGCCCCGTCCCCCAGACAAAGGTGACCGGAGGCCGCCCCACCACCGTCACCTCCTCCATCCGCTCCATCAACCGCCTCCTGACCACCTACGGCGGCTGGCGCTCAAACTTCCGCGGCTTCGGCGTCTACTTTGTCCAGGCCCTCGCGACCAACTTCCTCTTTGGCATCTTCTCCTCCTTCCTCCCGGACATCCTCGCCTCCCTCGCGACCCTCCTCTCCGCCCTTGCCCTCGTCCAGCTCTCCGCCGTCTGGGTCCACATCGTCATCACCCCCTCAAGCTCCGACTACTTCTGGAAGCGCCTCCCGCCCTTCAAGCGCACCTTTGACGCCACTGCGAAGCCCGTCGCCGCCTACTGGCTCGCCGAGCAGGTCGCCACCTGGGTCCCCATCGCCGTTGGCTGGGCCCTCGGCCTCGACCTCCCCAACTTCCAGTTCGGCAAGCCCAACTCGGTCGTCTCCCAGCCCCAGAGCTCAGACGCCTGGAAGAGCATCGTCATCACCCTCATCAGCATCGCCTTCCAGATCATCATCGTCATCCCCGCTCACGTCGTCCTCGTCCGCGTCCAGGCCTCTCTCATCCCCGAGGAGGCGAACACCATCATTCCCTTTGACCGCTCCTTCGAGGGCAAGGTCGAGCCCCGCGTCGTCGGAGGCAAGGGCTACGCCACGATGGACGACGCCTGGAGCGGCTTCTCCCGCAACGCCTGGAAGCGCCTCGTCATCCTATACGTCAAGATCTTTGCCGTCTCCTTTGCCGCTTTCGCGCTCATGGCCGCTGTTGTCATTCCCGAGATTATCGTCTTCAGCAAGCTTGCCAAATAAATGCTTGGTTAGCACCTGAAATCTACAAACACCATCTCTCTCAACTCTTAGGCTATTGCGCTTATACTCAGTTGCCCCCTTCAAGGCTCGCAAGGATGTGTTGATGGGAAGAAAGCGGATAAAACTTGATTAGCTGTACTTGAATTTGCGCATCATCATGCACTAAATCGTTTCTTAGCTAGCTGGAGAGTATCTACTTCGTGTTTTATTATCACAACTCCATACCCCAAATAAAACAGAGAATGAAAACTTGAAATCACTGCATCACCATAGCCATCATCAAGATCAAGATCATCATCATCATCATCATCATCATCATCATCGAGAAGTGAGCAGCAAAAGTCTTTCTTTCTAGTGTCATTAAACCGTCAAATGTCTTGGGTTTCATAAGTAGTGAGGTCCTTCCGTGAACAATACCAACTCCCAAGACAATGCAGCAGCAACAGCGGCAAAAAAGGCAGAAAAAGTTTTGCCTCGTCAGCCGTTCTTCTCATCCATCCTGTATGTTCTCGTGGTCGTCTGTCTGTCGGTCGTCCACCCTCACACACACAACGGGGATGATATCATCTCCCTTGAGCCCTCTCCTCTGCACACACCCTCCTCCACACACCATCCACTGCCACCAAAATCTTCCTCCCTTGACCAAAAATGACAAAAGACCGCCCAGGAACTTGCTTGACAAGCCAGAATCCAAGAGCAATGCAAACCCCGCCCAAACAAAAGAAAAGGAGGAAGAGAAAGAATTCAACATCAAGGAGAGAGGAAAACCTCTCCTCTCCCAATTCCGTAATTTGTGCTCGAGCTTGCATGTGAATCTTTTGCGAATTTCATCGTCCTCTTGTTTTCCAGTATACTCACTGACCAGGAAAAGAACAAGGTTAAAGAGGCCTCTGTGGAGAGCAAGGGAGTCGTGCCGCCGCCAGGGTCAACACAGCGGGGGGTATAACGGTCTAGTTCGCACCAAGCTGTGATCTAACTTGTACGTTGTTGTGTGTCTATTCGAAGGGTGAGGGTGTATCTCCCTGTACCGTCTCCCGATCTCAGGGGGCCCCAAATGATCAAGGGAATAACAGAGCATGTGGCGTGCAGCTTAAGACTTTTGAGAGAAGAACCAACTGCTTCTCTTGCCGGCACTGCCCTCGTTCTGCTGGATGCTGTTGATGACGGGGATGGAAGGTCCCTGATTATCAGCACCGCCACCACGGAGGGGTTTGGCGATGCGGCTGCCAGCGCCAGAGAAGCTGAAGCCACCCAGCGAGGGAGAGTTCAGGCCGCGAGTGCTGCCAGCCTTGGCTGCCTCCAGCCTCTCCTTGACAGCAGCAAGCTGAACCTCGAACCTGGAGGGCACGAATCGTTAGCATCAGATAATAGAGTTCGAGAGGTTGAAGGATAGGCAGAAACATGGATCGCGAGGGGGTCTTACTTGTGATTCGCAGAGGCCATCTTCTCCTGGCTATCCTGTAGCAGGCTCTCCAGGCTCTGGATGCGCTCGTTACGAGCAATGAGTTTACGCTCAGCAATGGCCACCTCCTTCTTCAGTGCCGAGTTCTGCTCGACGAGCTGGCGCTGAACCTGAGTAAGCTGCTCAAGGTTCCTCTCCAGGAAGGCCATCTTCTTCTGTTGGGCCCGGTTGTTGGATGAGCGAAGCACGTTGTTATACTGCTCTCTTGTCTCGTCAAGCGAGATTTCGAGCTCAACCACACGCTCGCAACGGTTCTGAAGATCGCGCATAAGGCTCTTCTTCATAATGTCGAACTCGGCAATCTGTTGCTGAATCGACTTGCCGTTCGCCATGGGCGCGGCGGTACCAGCCTTGACTCTCTGTTGGAGATCCTCGATAAGGGTCTTCATCTTGGTGTTCTCGGCAGCCTTCTGGGCAATCTCAGCCTTTAACTCATCAACAAGCTCCATGGAGGTGGTCTGCTTGTTAGAGTAAGCACTCTCCAGGCGAGCCTTAATCTCCTCGACATCGTTCTCCCCGAGGTTGCGGGTCAGGAGCTCCTCGTACTCCTGCTGGAGAGCCGACAGGTGGTCTTCGAGCTCGGCTCTGCGACGGGCATCGGCTTCGCTCGAGGAAGCACTGTATACGGACAGCTCGGCTTGTCTAACGATTCCTTGGATCTCGACGAAGCGCGACTTGAGAGCCTGAAGCTCATCTGGGTTGACAACCTCACCAGTAGAGCTGACCTCGTGAAGGGCCTCCAGTTGGGAAATAGCCTCCGAGATGGCCTTCTCGTTATCGCTGAACACCTCGGCGCCAAGGTCGAAGCCGGCCATCATCTTGGCCATCTTCTCGGCCTTCTTCTTCTCCTTCTCATCAAGGACGGCGCTTGTTTCCTTGGCGCTCATCTTCACGTCCAGAAGCTGCTGCTTGACCTCGTCCAGCTCCGCAGTCAGCTCGGCATTTTGCTCCTTGAGAGCATCCATGGTGATTTGCGCCTCCTTGCCCTCAAAGGTGAGTCGCTCAATTTGCATCTTGACCTCGTTCACCTCCCCGTTCAGCTTCTCATTTTCCTTCCCAGTCTTCGCATCGTGCTCCTTGAGGTAGGCAAGCTCCTCCTTGGTCTCCCGGAGAGCCTTCTCTGCTGCGTTGTACTGAGACTCCTTCTCGGCAATCTGGTCCTGGAGCTCGTTCTCTCGGCGCAGGAATTCGTCGCGCTCATCTTTGTCGAGAGGCAAACTTGGTGTTCCTGATCGCTCTGAGATGGCTGGGGTCTCGGATCTGCTGTCGGGCAACAGGCGGGATGGTGTTGAAGGACGAGGCGCCTTTGCTTCGGCCTTGGTCCCGACTACACCATCTGCAGATAAGGGGGCCACCCATCTGTCCTTAGGCACGGCCTCTCCGGCGCGCCAGAGCTGAACTTCGCCTTCCAAATTTGAGAGATACGTTTCGAAGGTCGAGATCTGGCCTCTGGCCTTGCCGAGCAAAGCCTTGAGTTCGGAGGGACTTAGCTCGGCGTTGATCTTGGCCTTGTTCTTGATTGCCTTTGCACGAGTACCGAATCGGAGGGTGCCAAGGGTTTCAGCATCGTTGTAACTACTGGGAGAGCAATTAATGATGAGAGTTGTCCGACTGTTACCTCCCAGAGATTCTTGGAGGATACGAGTCAACTTGGAATCGCGGTAGGGGACGTGGGATGATCTGCCGTCGGTCAAGGCGTTGATGACCATTCCGAGAGCACTCAAACTCTTGTTGATCTTCTTTGCTTCCTCCAGCGTCTGACCACTGGCGCCTGTCTTTCCAACCTTTTCGCTACCGGCCAAATCGACCAGGAAAAGCTGACCACTCTTTGCCGATCCGGTCTCGACATTCTTTTGGGTAATGGTGACGACGAAGATGGAATGCGAACGGGAAGATTCCTGGTTCATGTTGGTTGCAGAAACGGCTCGGGCGTTTCCACCTCTTCTCATAACTTCGTAGACTTCCTGGACACTGGAGACGTAGACTTCGAGAAGACCCTTGACGTAGACACCGCGATTCTTTTCTTCGTGCACGGGAAGGTTGTCGTTTTGGGGCGCAAGCAAATCGCGAATCCTCTCCATGTAGATTTCCATATAACTGACTCGAACCGTGTACTCGATAGTGCTGGGACTGGACATGATACTGGCGAAGATCTGTTCGACGATACGGGGGATAATACCTCGGCCTTCCTCGTCGTCGATGCTGGAACCCATCATGGTGTAGGATTTTCCGGCACCCGTCTGGCCATAGGCGAAGACGGTTCCGTTGTAACCATTGAGAATGTCGTCGACAGTCGATCGGATGGAAAAGTCGAAAATATCGGACTGCTTACATTCCATGTCGAAGACACGGTCGAAGGTGAAGGACCCCTGGGCCTCCTTGGACTAAAGCATTATGAGTCAACTGAGTGCCCGCATGCGCGATGTCAAGCACCGGGTAGGGAGGCACTTACGTCGAGAGTACATGTTTCCTCGCTGCTGAAGGAGACAATGGGCTGGCCGCCCGACGCCAGTTCCACTTTGTTCTGTGGACGGAATCGGGCGACGACCTTGATACTGTTGTTTGCGCCAGACATGGTGACGGTATTTCAGACCAAGCGAGGTCGAAGCCGGGGTCGTGAGGTTGCGATCGGGACAAGATGCTGCGAGATAGGGGGGTTTTGTGGTTGCGAGGCACTCGGCGGCCGCAGCTCGGCAACGGGGGGGTTGTGTTGAAAGGACACACACAGACAAGGCGGGTGGGATGAAATGACGGTGTGCGGATATGGAAAGGCTGCTAGAATGACATATCGCAGGTATTGCAGGGCGATGATGCAAGGAGAAAGGAACAGCGACAGCACAAACCAGCGGCAGTAGCAGCCAGAAAGGCAGTCGGTCAGAAAGCGAAAGAGGAGGGAGATGTGTGGTTGTATTGTTTGGAAAACGGGTTTTGGGGGGGCTTTTGGGGGGTTGAGATGCAAATGACGGGACGCGCTAGAAATCGCGTAGAATTATTTGATGGCAGCAAGACAAAGCACAGAATGCAGGTGCAGAGAGGGGGAAGTAAGGTCCACGGGTACCTTCCCACAGTTCCTCCCACAGTTCCTTCAGTTCCCATGGAAAGTCACAAGTCACTGCTAAGGTAAGGTAAGGTATTCAGGCCCAAAAACAAACCAATCCCATCCCGCCATGGTCACTTCACGCTGGTCGTTTCATCCCCACCTCGTCGTCTTTCCTAAAGCACAGCCGAGGGGTCCCCGTCCCAGACAGGTAAAGTCCCCTGTTGTGCTGCTGGAATGGACGGATACAGCAGCACGCATCGCCCATGCAGTGCCCAACGGGACTGGCTGCACTCGCACACTGACCATCATGAGCAGGCATGTTGGTACTTCAGATGGCCCGGCGCATTGCACACTAATTAGAGGACCACCCGGCCGAGCACGCGACAGAGATTTGCTGACGAGAGTTTGCACTTTGCACGGTTGACCAAGTGGACTGAGAGTTGGGGACTGGCCTTTGGGTGAGTCTTGTTATGGTAGACTGCTCCGCTTTCGCCTGTGAATTCATAATAAACAACTACGGGCCGCATGTTGTTCAACAGATTTGGTATTTCGCTACTTATGAGGTCACAAATGCACTTCCCACGAACTCCCCTGTAAAGCCAGATGAAGACGAACCTAACGTCACCGACGACGGGTGACTCAACGGATAGGAAAAGCAAAGCACGTCCACGAAACGCCTATCGCAACATGGGGTCGCCCCAAAAGCCACTTAGAGAGGACAGCACGAGCCGAAACGCCAAATCCCCCCACTCCCACCTCATCGGGTACCCCAGTTGCTTAATGCGAAGAAGATCAAGACATCTGTCTGGTCAGCCCTGGGTGTAGCTCATATCAATCTGCCCCTCGTTCGGCCCTCTAGCAACCTCTCGCAGCCCAGCAGCTTATTCCTACACGAGCCATGCCCTGCTGAAGTAAGGCGCGGATATTCTCGTTCATAACAGTCGTGTGTATGCGTCGTGATAATCATGTCGATTTAATCGTCCCAACTCTTCTCGACAGTCTCACGAACCCGCTTCGTGTACTCCTTCCGGTTGTCCTTATACAGGTTCGATGCTTCAACATTCGCTGGGGAGCCCGTGTTTGGGTCGTTAAGCAAACTGACGATACAAGTTAGCTAAAATCCAGCTCCGTCATTCGTAGAGTGGCACCCAGGATCCCTTAGGTAGGATAGCTCTCACCTCTGAATGCTCGTCAACACGGCCGCGACATCATACGTAGGACTCCAGCGGTTCTGCAGGATATCCAAGCACAGCTCTCCCGTAGCGTAGACATTCGGATGGAACATCTGGCTGATGAACTTGACCGCGGGTGGCTTGTTGGGGTACTGCTCCTCGAACTGCATAACGAGTCTGAAAGTACCGTCTTCGAATGGAGTATCGGCGGGACCAATAATCACGGCATTCCTAAAGCATGTCTTGTCAGTCGTCGTTGGCACATTCGGCAGACTCGGGATTTGGTCAAGCATACCAGGTCATGACGTTGTCGGGGACGGGAGAGGCAGAAACGCCAGCGGGAGGATCAGTCTGCATACGCTACGCAGTGCGTTAGGATCGTACACAAAATGATGGCATTCTGAGCGACGCAGCTTACCTTGAAGTCGCGCATCAAGCGACGGCGGGCGGCGGTAGACATGGTGGCGGTCGACGACTGATTACCAAGACTGAGGGGTCGGAGGATCGTAACTGCCGTCGAGAAAGGACGGGTGAGAACCGAGAGTCGGTTCAAAGAGTGGGCGGTCGACGTATATATCCTCGCTGGGTATCGAGAATGCTGGAATTTCTGGAGATCTCCGTCACTTACGATGTGTGATGGAGAAAGTTGTAGAAAGGTCGTGTGCATCACAGACGAGAGTCCGAAAGAATGGCGCGGGAAGCACTCGCCTTCACCACCGCCTTCCGCTTGGGCCAGTGGGTGGGTCTCAATTTCTGGTCCAATCATGTTGGGCGATACTAAGCGCGAATCACCCGATAACAAGTGTGGCACTCAAGAGTCCCGTCTCCAATACCTACCTAAGGTAGGTACCAAACGCCCGCGGCAGTCGCGACTTAAGCCTCCCATCTCTCATTGACACCGTCTAGGCCGCAAGCTGGACCATCCAACTGAGGTGCTTCTGACAGACACTTGGATGGGTTTATATTCCATGGATACCGCTTGCCATTGTGCCATGTTGGTGAGAGTCGCACCTAACTTACCTTAAGAGGCAGTATATAAAAAGATACTCAAATGCACCAACTTGCACACCAGCGGGGTGTAGCTTTCCTTTCGCATGCGCGGGATGAGAGGTCGTTTGTAGGCGGGTTTGTTCGGTATTTATAGTTACGCTGTAGGATTGCCATAACGGTGATCATCCGTATGCCGCGAAATTCCGGGGGGGAATGTCATCCAAAATGCAGGCAAAGAGTGACATCGTTGCAGCAGCCGGAACCGGTTCCACCCCTTTGGCCCGACGAGCTTTCCGAGCGGAATTGGCTCTACTTCCACGGTCCGGGGTGGGGGATCGGTTCTCCAAGGACCTGGGGGAAACTTGGGAAGTTACCTCACTCCTCACTTAGAAGCTCGGCCCCGCCCTTGTACCTCCCAGGCACCCCCCCTCTTAAGCCGAGGAAGACCGCAGAACCTGGGGTACTGTCATCCCGCGCCTTCCACATGCTCGCTTCATCCCTCTCGAAGTAAACTGTCAAGCCGCCATCCTATCTTTTTTCCTTCCTTCCCATTTCCCTCTGCAAGATCGTTTTAGGTCGCGACCGCTTTGTGCATTTCTGCTGCGAAATACCAGATACCATTTGTAACATATTCCACCATGTTTATCAGACAATCGTCAAGGCTTCCTAGCCAATTGGCTAGGCAAGCGGCTTCCCGTCAGTTCTCCACGCGAGCTGCGCTTCGGCAAGAGATTCGGGACGCATACATCATCAGTGCCTCAAGAACACCGACAGCAAAGGTAACAACAAACAGTTCAGTAAGCTTCTACAAAGCTTTCATAACTAACACGGCCGCCAGTTCAATGGCTCGTTCACGAGCGTAACTGCGCCGCAGCTGGGCGCCGTCGCCATCAAGTCCGCAATCGAAAAGTCCAAAGTTCCCGTCGACAAGATCACCGATGTGTACATGGGTAATGTTCTACAAGGTTCCGTTGGGCAGGCGCCGGCTCGCCAGGCCTTGATCTTTGCCGGTCTCCCGTCTAGTGTGGAAGCGATCACCATCAACAAGGTCTGCGCATCCGGCATGAAAGCTGTCGTCTTTGCTGCACAAAACATCCAGCTCGGTCTCTCGGAGGCGCAGGTTGCCGGTGGCATGGAGAACATGACAAGGGTGCCGTATTACGTGCCCCGCGCTTCTAGTCTGCCGCCATTCGGTCATGTCCAGATGGAGGACGGCCTGATCAAGGACGGGTTGACTGACGTTTACGACAAATTTCACATGGGCAACTGCGCCGAGAACACGGCTAAGAAGTACGAGATTTCTCGCGAGATGCAAGACGAGTACGCTATCGAGTCCTACAAGCGCGCCCAGGCTGCGTGGAAAGCGAACGCCTTTGCCGAAGAAATCGCTCCTGTCACTGTTCCCGGAAGGAAGGGCGACACAGTCATTGATTCTGATGAGGGATACCTCGATGTTAAGTTCGACAGAGTACCTACTCTGAAGCCAGCCTTTGTGCGCGACGGCACTGGCACTGTCACTGCTGCCAACTCCTCCACGTTGAACGACGGTGCCAGTGCACTTGTTTTGGGCAGCAAGGAAATTGCGTCAAAATACGGTTCCGGTTCTCGAGTGCTGGCAAAGATTTGCGGCTCGGCCGACGCCGCGGTTGATCCTATCGACTTCCCTATCGCTCCGGCCAAGGCAGTACCCATCGCACTCAAGAGAGCGGGTATCACCAAAGACCAAGTTGCCGTGTGGGAGTTCAACGAAGCTTTTGCCGCTGTCATTAAGGCGAACGAAAAGGTATGCTTAGCGTCCACAACCAATCAATCAATACAATCGCGACTAACAGCCATTCCGTAGATCCTCGGATTGGAGGGTGCTCGGGTTAACCCTCTCGGTGGAGCTATCTCCCTCGGCCACGCCCTGGGTAGCTCTGGATCACGAATCATCGTCACTCTGCTGCACCAGCTGAAGCCTGGCGAATACGGTGTTGCAGCCATCTGCAACGGAGGCGGCGCGGCCACGGCGATCGTCGTGCAGCGCGTCGAGTCTGTGTAATTTGCCATGTGTATGTCGTTGCGGGTATACTTCCCGGCAGCGTCTATGCCATGTGGAAAAGGAAAGCGGCATGCATAAGGTGCTTAGCTTCATGCGTGAATTGGGAGCTACTTTCCGCTCAGGTTACGATGACCATAGCGGATTCGAGGCACTTTATGTGAGAGGCGTAAATTGTGAAAAGTTGAAGAAGCCAACTGGAAAAGTAGACTGGGTTTGGATGATTTTGGGAATGCAATATCCCATGTAGAAAACTTGACGCAGATCACTAGTAAATGTTACCCTTCACAAAGTACGTTGAAGCTACAAAGTGACGACCGGCCAGCTCCATTCACGGCTCCACTCACCGAGCACGTACCCTTGTTCCCCGTACACCGAAGAATCCACCTCTGCTCACCTCACATCGTCTGGCTCGAGCTCTCTCAACTTGAACTTCCACCTTCATCACAACCCGCAAGGCTTCCTCACTTCTTCTTTCCCGAATCGCGGCCTCGCCCCGCTCCCCGAATGAAGCATCACTTTTGGCACTTTTCAATTCCGTGCCAACGATGTCCCTGTTAATTCAATTCCTCAGCCAGATTCGCACATTTGTCCGTGCTCAGAACATCGACGAGCTCCGGAATTGGCTCCTCGTTGAGCCCAACGCAAACCAGCAATATCACGCCCTTGCCAATGAGCTGCGAACGCAGTTTCGCTCATCACGGCATGGCGCCAACGGGACAAGCAGCACAGCACTAGAGAGCACAATTGAGAAATGCCTCCCCGAAGAGGACGACGTGCCAGAGGGCCAGGGTTCGCCGTGGCCAGGCTTTGTGACTTTTATGAAGGACTACATGGTCTTCTGGCGCGACGTCGACTATGATGACCTCTTGGGTGCTCACACGTTACTAAGTGGGCTGGTAAAGTGAGTCGTCGATGAGAGCCTCTCACCAGCTCTGTTGAAGCAGATCTCATGGCCCTCAACCGCGCCTTTCGTAGTCAAAGCAGCAATCGGCTAACACCCACACAGCTCCTGTAGTACCGCCTTTGCCCACCCTACCTATGGAGGCATGCTACTGAAGACAGCAATGTCCCTCTGCGAGTCCCTCTCGCGCCTGACAATGATGTTGTCAAAGCGTCCGGACCTTACGCGCAACATCCGCAACGTCGACGCCGATGACCGCAAGTCCATTGCCGAATCCTCGGCTGAGATCATCCAAAAGATATTCACTACTTGCCTGACGGACCGCTCCAGCGCGCGGTACAGCAAGCCGGAAGGCAAGAAGGTTGGCGTTTACATGTTTGCCAACCTAGTGCTGAAGCTTCTCTTCGCCGTACGTCTGCTTCCTGCCTTTCCAATACTCCAGTTTGCCTGAGCCCCGAGCGCGTTGACTGATGGATGCCTGTAGTGTCGGAGAACACATCTTGCGAAACAAATATTCACAAACATCTCCACAAACTCGCCGCCATTATCATTCTACCCGGCATCACAACGCGTCAACTTCCTCTACTACCTAGGCCGCTTCAACCTTGCAAACTGCCACTTCCTCCGCGCGGCGCTCTGCCTCGAAGAGGCCTATCTCCAGATCCCACCACCCCTCACATCTCATCGCGCCCTGGTTCTCAGCTATCTCGTCCCCTGCAACTTCTTGCTGGGCCGTCTACCCTCCCAGCTCCTGCTCTCTCGCCCAGAAGCGTCAACCCTTGTACCCGTCTACCAACCACTGATTCAAGCGATCCGCAAGGGCGACTTTGTCCTCTTCCAACACACGCTGGCCCAGCACGAAAAATACCTCTTCGACAAGGGCCTCCTCCTCGTCCTCACCCATCGCCTCCGGCCTCTGCTCTGGCGCTCCCTCTCCCGCAGAACATTCCTCCTCACCTACGCCCCGGGCCAAGACGACGCCAACCCCTCCAACACGAACCGACGCGCCGCAACAATGGACCTCGCTGACCTCCACGCGACGTCCCAGTACCTCCAACACCGCCTCGAAGGCTACGTTCCCTCCAAGTCGCCCTCCTCCTTCGCGCCGTCGACAGCATCCCCCGCTTTCCTCAAAGCAGTAAGCCACGATGCGGCCTCGACGCTCGTCCCGCCGCCCGGCGGACCCAAGAAGCTGCGCCCCAACGAGGGATTGGTCTGGGGCAACTCCCCCGTGGAGATGGATGACGTGGAGATGAATGTCTCGGTGCTGATTCAGCTTGGGTTCATGCACGGTTTTATCGCGCACTCGCAGGGGAGGTTCGCCGTCATGGGCGCCACGAAGAAGAGTCCCGTATTGGCTGGGTGGCCGACGCCGTGGACGGCTATTCGGGAGAGGCAGTACGAGGAGGATCTGGATTTGGATCATGTGCCTGGATGGGTGAAGGGTTGAAGCGAAGCAATCACTGGACTATCTATCTCCTGTGGCGAGCCTGAAAGCGCTTTGGGGGAAGTATGGTTTCTAGATAGATGCAGAAGTTCACCGATCCATGGAAAAACAGAAATGATACCCTATTCGCATCTAGGACTGGACTTTTGCGTGCTTCGACTGATATGCTCAAAATACACTCCTGAAACCAGTCACCAGGGCAAGGTTAGACGAATAGAATCCTGTTAGTGATGGTCTATTTCTATAGAGACAGACAATGACGAGGACTCGTGTGAGCCCACTACATAGAGTCCTAGTGTTAGTATGACCGCTAATATTCGACAGCTTTCTCTGATTCCCCCATCCTTTAGAGTTGTCTTGATCAATGGTCAAGGGAGGACGGGAGGTCAAGAATCAATGTCAGTAGCATCAGTCACGCCGGTAAGAAGGGCAGGGAAGAGTATCGCCAGCTCACTCTGAACCGATAGGGAGGGATTCATTGCAATGCGAGTATGGGGCATGTCACTGGAGATGGTCATCGTCTACAAATACGTAGGCCAATTTTCGTCGCATAACCTATCTACAAGATGGAACAGGAAGAAAGAGACGTCCATGCAGCGCAGTTGAGGATGAAGCTGAACGATCCATCATCTGGGAATACAACCAGGCATCGACAGAAATACGTAATCCCGTTCCAAGGTACCCAGCGACAAGCGAACCAAGCCATCCGCGCCCTACGTCCAAGGTAGATGTAGATAGCCATCAACCTAGCACCGCACACAGAAAGCCTTCTTTACCACGACCCAAGCAAGGAGCCGCAAGCAATGAAAACAAATGGGAAGGTATTCTCAATCGAGAAAATGGGGGTTCCAAAGATTCCCTAGCCGGCCTAGGCCAGCTAGGAGACGAAAGCCAAACTATGAAGATAGTTCTCAACTAGCAAAAACGCGATCTAGGACGAATCCTCATCGATACGCGAAATGCCCTTGCACTCGGATGGAGAAGAAAGGAAAGAAGAAGAAAGATTATGAAAGTGAAGCGGCGGTTGAAGGGGTTTATATAGGTTTCTGCCACTTCATGTCCACAAGGTCAGGCAGAGAGGTTTCGTTTGGCCTCCCATCAAGATAATATAAGGTACACAATATGAACCTTACTTTTGGCCTCAATGCCTGCCTGCTCCGGATGGACCACCCAAGGTGTCAGGCTTACATTGCCCTATGCAGAACCGACGTTGGTAAGCTAGCAGATACTATACCCAAATAACGTCTTCCCCTTTTCAAAGAAAAAGAATGATGTGTATTAAAGATCTTGGGAGTTGATACATCTTAGCCATTTTCTGCAATTAATCTTGTTAATAGTACTAGGTTGTGGTGATTTGTTATTCGAGCAGCAGAAATGCGAGGAAGACGATGGTCCTCACACCTCGGTGCCACACTGCCCGTGCCACACCTTCCCATCTCGACGCCTCAGTCCCCACTCGGACCCGTTCAGGGGAAAAGGAAACCACTGCACGACTGCCCGCTGATGGAAAGCTGTCAGCACCCGCCCGTCCCACCCCGGTACGTACCCACACCCGAAGCTCCGTGGCCGCCGACTTCAACATCTCGAAACTTGAAGCACACGCGCGCGGGGATCCGAAGTAATCCACGAGTCCGACATGCGAATATCGCCGACGCCGCCAAAATGCTCTCATTTATCCTGATTCAGAATCGCCAGTATGTCTAGTCGCTTCCGATGCAGAACGTGAAAGAGAAAGGGTCTCTCGCTGACATACTCCCCCCCTTTCGCGCCATCCAGGGGCAAGACCCGTCTCGCGAAGTGGTACGCACCCTACAGCGACGATGAAAAGATCAAGATGAAGGGCGAGGTACGAAATCGACTCAACCCCAATCAGACCGACCGCCCCAAGCCATACTTCTTCTAACGCATCTCACCCCCCGTAAACAGGTCCACCGCCTCGTCGCCCCCCGAGACCAGAAATACCAATCCAACTTCGTCGAGTTCCGCAACAACAAGATTGTCTACCGCCGCTACGCAGGGCTCTTCTTCTGCGCCTGCGTCGACACAAACGACAACGAGCTCGCCTTTCTCGAAGCCATTCACTTCTTCGTCGAGGTCCTCGACGCCTTCTTCGGCAACGTCTGCGAGCTCGATCTCGTCTTCAACTTTTACAAGGTCTACGCTATCCTCGACGAGGTGTTCTTGGCCGGCGAGATCGAGGAGACGAGCAAGCAGGTCGTTTTGACGAGGTTAGAACACTTGGATAAATTGGAATAAAGGGAGGCCTGGCTGTCTGTTAGTGTTGTGAGGGAAGGGGACTTCACTGCACGGTCCGGTGTTGTAGAAGACTGGAGGGGGGTCGCGCTCCTCCGGTCTGAGGCTTAATCACGTTTGGAGACTGGCGGACTTCTGCACTGTCATATATGGGCGTATGGGTGGGCCGGAGTCTGGAGTTTCGTCAAGAGCGATACGTACGCGACTGGCTGCAACCTCAATTGGCAAACTTTTGATTTCGTGGGAATAAATGCTATGCAAGGAATTTCAGGGACAACTTCCCCTACTGAAATCATGAAAACGGTGCATCATCGTCTCTCTCTCGAATCTCAATCCAGCTGTCCTCGAAGAACCCTGCTGAGCAAATCTTGGAGGAGATAATGCGGCTAGATGCTCGGGAGCATCCTAGATACATCTTCGGCACCTGAGATAGACATCCCCGTCGGCAAATGCGGCCAGGTTGCACATCTATCCGACTGCCCAAATGCAAAATACCACGGAACCACCCAAAGTCCCAAAAAGTAGCCCTTTGGTTCCCAGCCCCAAGCAACCATAACTCGGGCGAGGCTTCGGACGCCAATTTTCGCCCGAATTATGGAACGCAATCCAGACGCATACGAAGGAAAAGAAGAAAATGTAGGCGGCCGAGCTCAAAAAACACAGGCCAACCTCGCGCATGTCGAAGGGGTGTAAGAGCTGGCATTCAATCGCGAGCCAAGATTTCTTGGCAAACGATAGATCCGCAGCTCCAAAGTCGACGGAAAACAGGTAAGAATGTTGGAAGTAGGCAAATTGATGCCGGGGCCCAGAATTGAAGCATCTGACCGACCATAGCCAGATTGGAGCGAATGGAAATCCGCTGAGCAGCCATCGAACGCAAGGCTACTCACTCATCTTCGAGGTGATTAATTCCTCCTCCTCTTCCTCCTCCTCCTCCAGCTTCCTGGCCTCATAAATCTCAACAGCGGTGCGCCGGCGAGCAATATTGACGTAAACGTTCTCGTGCTTTCTGCTTCGGAACAGAGCCAAGACGCGAGGGTCGTACGGAGGGCCTCTCTGAAGAGGCTTCAAGGTTTGTAAAGGGATAATGACCTCCTTCGTGTGAGATAAGCCATGGTTCACCTCAATGGGGCTGCTTGGGGCTTGGTCCATTTTTTCAGGGGCACCACCCATGTAAATGTCGCCATGACCGTCGTTGCCATCGTAGTAATCATCGAAACCGAGGTTTCTAGGTATGATACTTTCGTTGTGGGAAGTCGCGGACGGCGGAGAAGAAGACTGCAAAACCAAACTTCCATTATTCAGTTGGGTGACATCCATGACCTCGAAAGCGTCTGGCTTCGCTTGGAAGAAATGCTCTCTTCCCATCGCCGCGAAAAATTCATCCGACTCAATGCTGGCTTGCTTCCACTGCGAATCAGTTACTCTTTCAGACTCCATGCCTTCGGCTGAGTCTATAGCTCCGCCTGTGTCCATGGGAATATCCTCGGATGCGCCAGCTTGCTTCGTTCCTGTGCCGACGTCCAAGTCTTTCTTGGCAAGACCATGGCTCTGCATAGTTTGTACCACGGGAGCAGATTGGTGTTTCTCTTTGGGAGGCATCTCAACGTCGTCCCAAGGCAGACCGTCAGCAAAGGGGTTTTCATGCCGCTGTCTCTTCGCCGGTCTTTCGATATCGTCCCAGGGAGAGAGTCTGCCGTCAGTGCGCCGTTTGTTCAGCCGGGATCGAAGGTTCGCCTTTTTCTCGTCCAAGTTTCTCTCTAGACTCTGCTCTATGGCTTTCTTCAGGCCCAAGGCACCAGTTCTCTCCGATTCCTTGGGACGATAGGCAAGATTGAGATGACTATGCTCATCAGAGCGGAACGTATTATCAAGACGGCTGGAAGGATCAGGACGGTATGTATCGATGGATTGGCGAGTGTCGTTGGGGCGATAAGTGTCAACGCGTTGGCGTGATCTTTCAGGACGGTAACTATCATCCGCAAGGTTCAAGTCGATAGGGCGGTAAGAGTCCGAACGAAGTCGATGTCCGAGTGGTTGAGAGTTGCTCCCAGACTTAAGAGGACCTACACTGAATTCTTGGAAGTTCGATGATTCGTCTTGGTCGGTGCTAGGGCTGGATTGCAAAAGTCGGGCTCGCTCCTCGTTTATGTAGGGTCCGTTGGTGCTTGAACTTTGGCTGGCAGATCTGGAGTGACTTCGCTTTCTCGATGAGCTCTGTCTCAGGTCTTCGCTCGATATCGCCGTGTTCTGAGGCCGTTGTCTGAGTGAAGCAGTGGAGCTGTTGGCCTTCTTCTGAGGACAATCCTGGATAAGGTGATCTCTGTACTCTCCGCAGATGTGGCAAACGTATTTCTTATGAAGGAGAGGCTTCGTTGAGGGGCAGTGCTGAATGAAGTGACCTACATTGGCAAGTTTCTCATTAGTTTTCCGATGACCTTTTTCTTGGCTTCATTAATAGCTACCTGGTACTCCGCAGCGATTGCATACGTAGCCAGCACGAGGCTTCTGCTTGTTCAAAGACGAAGTCTCAGGCGATCGGTCAATGAGCTTCTTTCGACGACTGGGACGGGAATCTTCAGCGTCAGGATGCACGTTTCCCGAGTTCCGAGTTTCGGGGACAGGCTCGCTCGCTTGGGTGGAAAGTCCAGCAGGTTGGGGCGAATCTGGCAGGCGCGTTACCAGGGCTGCCTCCTTTGGGGCAGATGAGTTCTTCACCTTGTGGTGGACACCATGCAATTTGTAGTTGATTTCGATGTCCCGTCTGGCAAGGTTGAAGGTCCGCTTATCTTGAGGTCGGTCTCTGAGGTAGTCTTTCTTGTGCTCGTTGAAGGCGCTGAGGACGAGATGCTTTTCGTACTTCCTAGAGCTGAGGTAGTCGCAAGCATCTCGAATGACCCTGGAAGAGGCCGTGTGATCTGTAAGACCCAGAAAAGGAGTCTGCTTGGCAAGCCACTTCGTATAAAGTTCCAGAAGCGTCTCGTCATCAATGTCCTTTGAGTGTCGGTGAGTCAATTCCCACTCGATGTCTCTCTGGTTCAGCCTGTAGAACTCTCGAGGATGCATCCCAAAGATGAGGAGCTTCGAATCCGTCATCTTTGTCCGCCGTGGAAGCGTTGGGAAACTTTTGACCAAAAGGTCAAGATAAAATGTTGGCCTTTTAGACGTGAGGTTGCTGCGAAATTCCTTGCTCGTCTTTGAGATGCCCTGGCTCCTTCCGGAGCTAGGGACTGGCTGGATCTGGAAAAAGGGCAAGTCGGAAAGCAGTGCACAGAGTAAGGCCTGCTGAGAAAGAAGTGGAATTTGAACGGAGGAGCAAAAGGTCATGATGAGATTGGGAAAAAGATCTCATCCGGGAGCCGCTTTGCTCTGAAAGTGTGTTGAGGATATCGTCAATATAGTGGACCTGGGGGTGGTCGATGACTGCAGCTAGTAGTTGTTGTGAACGGAAGGCTCGTTCGGAGCAGGCCCAGGTACGAGGTAATAAAAGGATACAGGTTTTTAGACAAGGCAGATGTGCTCAGCGAGGAAGGCCTCCAAAGACACCGATCGAGCCTTCTCCATTTTGATGGACTGCGTAGGTACAGTCAAGACCTCCTTCCTTCAAATTCGTTTCTGACCCTGACGAGGCAAATGTCACGCTCCCTTCCCCTCATGTATGGACTCTTCGAGTAGAAATTAGGCGCTCTTCTTCGGGGCACGACCCCCTCTTCTTGGTTGCCTACCTTACGTATCAATAACAAAATCGATAAAATGCTGTTACTCATTTACTGGACGTACCTTAGGGACGATGATGGCAGGACCTGCACTTGGACTTACAACACGTCGCGGGGCGAATGCTGCAAACCTCATTCTATTGAGGGATCGAGATCATGCCGATGCACAACGCCTGCAATATGAATTCATTCCGCGCCATGCCTAGACCATTGAACAAGAAGCATACAAGCCTTCGAATACCCTCCTAGTGATCACGCATCAAATTACCCCATACCTGATCCTTGGCCAAAATGTGAGACGCATCAGGCTCATCGCTTCAATGCTTGAAATCTCCTCTCCAGCTCCGTAATGTCGGGTACGTTGCCTCCTGGACCCTTTCCGGCTGGTTTCTTCTGAGCCGCTGCGTCCATCTTCTTGTTAGGTTTCAGCTCCAATGAGTTGAGCGTAACTTTAGGATGGACGTTGTCTGTGGTCATTCTCGGCGGTGTGACAGTCAGAGGGCTGCTGGGGCCTCCAATCGTCCTCGGCGGTGTTGCCTTGCTCAGCTCCTCCTGTTCCTTGGCCACTTTAGAGCTGTTTCCTAACGGACCCTCTGGTATTCTCACCCCGATCCCTCCACTTGGGTTATCGTCGTCGTCATCGTCCAGCAGGTCCAGCGGCTCGTCAGCCAGAGGTCGCTTCGGCCAGTCCACATTGTACGCCTTGGCAATTTCCTCCAAGTATCCTTGTACGAGCTCTTCCCTCGGCGGCGTGACACTCAGCTTCTTGACAACCTTGTCCGACACCTTGCCATCTGAGTTGTCCATCGCTGCAAGAACAAACTCCTTGCCATACTTCTCCGCCAACAGTGTTCGCACCACCTGCAGCTCCTTGATCTCCGTCTTCGGCGCAGCGTAGATGATGCTCTTTACCGCCTCCTCCAGCCCCGGATCACAGACTGACCCCTCGAGTAGCCCCGCGCGGGCAATAAGCAGTTCGCAGTACAGCTCCAGTATCTCGTGCAGCTCGGTCGTGATGTCGGATCGGATGATGTTCTCAACGCGGATGCGCGCAGAGTCGATTTTGCCCACCTCGAGGAGCTGCGCCATCGCGCGTCTTTGTGTCTTGCCCATGGAGTCATCGCGCTGTTGGACCATGCGCAGCCGTGCGATGGCCAGCTTGAGCTGTACCTTGAGCTTCGTCTATTCGAGATAGGAAGGACGCGGTTAGCAAAGCTATGTCGTCATAAGTGTCAGCGGGGCACGTCAAGGATGCGCGACTCACAACGACTGATGGTTGAGGAGGCATTTTAGTGACTTTTCTGTTGCGATTTGAGGGAGGGAGATGCCACGAGGCCCGAGTTAAATGGGAGAGATTCCACCTCAAATATGGTAAGTTAACTGAGGTAACAGGACACAAGGCAACAGAATTGAAGCAGGAGAGTGGGCAAGCCCGGAAGGGGTCAGTCTGCCTTATCTAATCGCTACAGGTTGGTGGGATGGCTGGAGCTTGCGCCTCACTGCGGGGTACTTATTCGTGCCCAAGTGGGAGGGACCAGGGTGTGTTCGAAAGCGGGCGATTCCAGCAAGGGCCATGCGGACACAGGCCTAGGGTCTGCGGTCTGCGTAAGGTAAGGAAGGTATGTATGTCACTTACACCTGACGTACGTAGTATAACTCGGTCCTCGTTGTTTGTATCTTCTCAAACGCAGGCTCATTGTTTCCTTATGAATAACTCGTGGAAAATGTGATCCCAAATCCTTGCCAAGCCTACAGGTCACAAAGCAGCTCCTGAGCGGCAGAAGAACTGCACTCGTCAAATGAGTTTCTTCGTCGAGCTATCGAGGTGACTATTCATCTGACGTAAACCTTGCCTGTAACGCCAACAAGAAATAACAAATCAACGAAAAAAACAAACGCCAAGTCCACCTGTCCACCCGTGGGTATCGTTACATTGTTCCAAAGGAGAAGTTAGAGTGAAGTCGACACAACCATTGAAATAAGACATAGAGCCAGCAGCCGGTATGCGATCGAGGAAAGTGCTTCAGAACTAAGAAACAATTAGCGGGAATTCTCTGCCTCATTGGGAGGAAACGTACAATATTGAGCGCGGTATGCTGTGGAAGCCGGGTACCATTCAGCATGGCCCGAGTCTTCTTGGGTCGCTGCTGGAGGCGTCTGAAAGCTTCCTGAACGTGACGAGGCTCAATTGGACTTCTTCCCTCGCTGGGCGGGTCGAACAGGCCGGTGGCCACCTTGCGCTTCTTTGATCCTGCATTTTCACCGCCGCTCTGTGCCTTGAACAGATCCTCTTGCTCCTTGACCTTAAGCGCGTGCTCGGTTAGGGTCTGGACCATTTCGAAGGTCAAGAAACCCAAGATATCGACGATATCGTCGGAAGGTTTGCTGTCCGTTACAATACCAAATCCAGCCCATTCTCGGAACCTTTTGCCCTTGCGGTACGTGAACGAAGCTTGACGGTATTCGGACCATGTCACGTACTCCTCCTTCGTCATGGCTTTAGTGCGCTCGTCGGCCTTGCGGAGACGTTGAAGGGTGATGAAGTTCATCTCTTCCTCTTCTTCATCCTCCTCGTCGTCACGTTCAGGGACTTCCTGGCTGTAGAAAGAGGACGGCTCCCAGGGCAGGCCGACCTTGGCCTTTTTGTTCTTCTTGGTCGCGTCGTCTACAGGGCCACCGGGGACCACGCCACCGCTGGGGTCTTCACCAGCTCCCAGGTCCGCTTCACCTCCCTTGTCGTCGGAATCCTTGACGTTCTTTCTGACATCTTTCCATGAGAGGAACGTACGCAGGCGAGAAACTTTGGCTTGATCATGGCGAATTTGAAAAATCAGGTCATTAATCGTGATGGCTCGCGCGCCGCGGCGAGCTGCAAGCTCAGTGCAGTTTCGAAGCTGGCGAGTTATTAGCAATGTAGAGACATGTAAAGCTTGCACAACTTACCAGCTCAATGACTTGCTGGCGCACAATGTCCTCAATCATGCTAGTCGTCTCAATCGACGGTTCGGCGGTCTCACCAGAGACATACATCATCTTGCGCGATACATTAGTAAGACGGTCTGACCAGCCATATGGCCCTTGGTTATTCAAACGCTGGGGCAAAATGAAAGCAGGCTTGTTTGGCGCTGGACGCGTGACTCTTTTTTTCTTCTCTTCTCCAAACGGGAGGTCAAGGATGGACTTGAAGCCGGAGTTGACCACGATGCCACGAACTTGGTCGAAGGCGGATTGAAACAGCTCCATGCTCTGGCGTTGAACACGCGCGGCGACCGCCGCCTTTGCTCTAGAGCGCCTGGGGTATTTCGGTTTCTTCGTGATGGTTTCAGACTCGGCGTCGCTGGTATTGTCGGCCAGCGGTTCGGTGCATTGTTCAAATATGGCGAGAGTCATTTCGAGACACCCGACGAGGTGGCTCATGAGGCAGCCGCCTCCATCTCGGTCGAAGTGAGATCTCCATCTCACAAACGATTGCTCCTCCCTGCCTTTCATTGGGGTAGATGTCTCTCTCGAGCCGAGTAGAGTGTTTTCGAAGCAGCTTTCTTGATACCAGCGATGGAGGTGAGGACGATATCTAGCCATACGCTAGGTATGGTGAATGGCAGGTACCACCTTGAGAAGATAGCCAGCGCTCATATTTGGAAAGAGCAGGGACTGTCGTGGAAGCCAGTCGAGCATACAAGCGTGAGGGTTTGCGTGTCCAGACGGGCCGTGGTCAACTCCAGGAGGCAGGTGTCAAATCCTTGTTTCCCTCTACTGGACTTCCAGTTTTGAGGTCACTAGCTGCCATGCGCCTGCGACTCCTCAAGAAGGGCAAAGCAGGACGAGATCAATAGAAACAAAATCCACAGCATCTTTACTCACCTGGCTGATCTCCTGGCGATACTTGAACGCCTTGTCATCCTTTGAAGCCATCTTGCCGGTGTTCAAAGGCAAGCCTTGAATTTGATGTAAGAATTTTGAATGAATCGAATGTTCTGTGTTCTGTCGTTAAGTGAGGTACAGACAGGGTGGAAGCTGATGCGGGCGTGGGAGGCTGCTGGTGAACGGAATGCTAAAATGTCCTGAGAGCAATCCCAAGAACCGCACTGTTGCCGAGTGAGGTAGACCAAGGCTAGAGACAATTCCTGTATGAAGGCTTTGATTGCTGCGTTGCTTTCTATGAAAATCCGTAGGGCTGCTAGGAATCCATTACTTGGGTGAATGGGACCTATGAACTGTCGATGGAATTCGGTGAGAAGGATAAGTCGGAGAGCGAAGGCTGGAGGTGTCTCGGTCGCAGTCCGGCTCAGCGACGACAGCTGGGCATGCTGGGTGCACTGACCAGCCTACTATCATTCACCTCAAGGCAAGCAGGGGCCAGAGGAGGTTCCGAGGTACCTTCCAGGTTCGTTTCCGCTGGAATCGGAAAAGATAACATCCGAACAGCGGGTTGCGTTCCGTTCAAATCTTACGTAAGGCACTAACTTGAAGCACCTATCACCTGAGGAAATCAGCATGATGGCGGTGCTCAATGCATCAATACTTAGATCAACGAAGAGAGTATTTTCAACCCAATTCTATCAGAGCAAGCTTCGCCCAAGCCTTCTTACCGAGTGCTCCCTGTAACCTGTCTATCCACATGACGGTCTGCAACCGAGATCGTGCGCTGTCCCACGACAAGCGCTCTGCTCCTAATTTCAACCACAGAGGCCGCAGCCAAGCTTCCTCAGCCTCGAACACTGAGATCGCGCACACCATCAAAAGCCAGAACAGGATGTTCTCGTCTCCTGTCTTTTCATTGGCGGTAGTCTCGCATAATTTTCTGAGACTCTCAGCGAGATACTTATAAGGAAACCTACCGCCTGGGATTTGCAATGTGGTTGACAGGAAGGCCAACATCCCAAGCCGGAGGCATTCATCTGACCGGTCATCGACCCCGTTCTGCAGATGTACGAGTCGTGTTTGGATAGATCCCAAGGAATCTTGGAAAAGCGAGCCTTCAAGCAGCGAATTGCAGGCGAGGTGATCGTTGATCAGATTCACCAAGTGTCTGAGGTCCTGCCACACACCGGCCAGCCTCCAGTCACTCACAACATTGCAAGAGAAGGGCCCAGCCTCGCGAGCTGCGGTCCCCGACTGCGCGTCAAAGCATGACTTCCAGCTGATGGGGCCGTGGAAGAAACAAGGCGTACCTCCCGTCCCAAGAGACCATGAGAGAGCCAGGCTGTATTGTCAGAGTCGCCCCCAACTGGCAGATGACATGCACTCACCGATCGAGCTTAAAATGTAGTTTCGGATGACTTCGAAGATACCTGAGCCCTCCACGAAGGCCTACAATCTGCCGTAAGCCTGACAAGTGTATGGCTGTGGTGCCGAAGTCACCCCAAAGACCTGCCATCAAGGCTAGAGTAAGTACGACGTGGAAGATTGCCTCGTTACGATGCGAGTCTGGTTGAGAAAGCGCCTCGTTGAGAAGTTTGATCGTGCGCCGGAGATGAAATTGTGTCATTCTTCCTGGCTGACGGTGCTGGACATGTTCATGTACAGCGGATGAGTAGAATAAAGCGCTGTGTAGGAAGATTTTGTCCTGGAGAATCCAAGAAAATGAGAGTGCTTCGGAATTCGCGCTGCGAGGGAGGTCGACGCAGTGCTCAATGGGATAGAAGGTGCCCTTGAGAGCATTGAAGTTGACCACTGGTCCCAGTCAGTCGGATGAAGTGAGATTTACGACAGCAAATTGGTATGTCTTACATCTGAAAAGGATTTCCTGAGAGGGCCTTTCCAACTCTTCTGCGAAGCGAATAAGAGACATGTCGCTAGGCGGCGGATGAGGAACCGGGGATACCAAAGTCGAGGTATCATCTCGAGCTACCTCTTCTATGCCCGGAGCCTGAGATTCTTCTCCAGCTTGCTGCTTCTCATCATCCACGCTGCGAGACCAAGATTTGATAGGGGAAATCGAATGAGTGAGCGACTGAAGTCCGGCATTCCCGCTCGCAGTTTGAGCGGCTGCCTTCTGCGCTTTACGAGCAGCTTGTTTGGATCGCCGCGAGCCTTCTTGCCGATTCTTACCGATCATACATCGACTACGAATTACTGATCGGTCTGTGGGCTGTGTCCGTCCCAAATTGCTGACTGTTACGAACGCGAAGTCAGCCGGCATAGTGGTAGTGAAGATGTATAGAACTGTAGGCTCGAGAAAATATGATTGCAATGATGATCTAAACAACTAACTGAGTCGATATGAGCTATGATGAAATATAAACACAATGACAATAAGATGAATGAATGAAACGCTTTGGGAGTGGAAGGATGCCAGGGCGAATACGCTACGAAGACCGACGAGACTGACAAAGGTACTAACACCATCTCACGGAAGAGCTCCGGAGTTAAGACCCCACTCCATCTGACCACATTGTTTTCCGGTTCGGGCAAGCGTCTCACTCTGCCTAGGTACTTCGCCCATGTTTCCTGCAGCCCTAAGGCCTCCGGCATCGTTCCTATTCGTCGTCGCCTCGAAGACAGCAGCGTGAGCCTCCAAGAAGATGACCCGGCCAACGTCCAATCCTCCCTGAAATGAAACATTCTTCCACACTAGTCCGAGTTGCCTTCTCTAGGCGGCGGACCGATAAAGACCTGCTGCGGCCTCCATAACATGGGACCCTTTTCGAGCATCGCCTCACGCCAGTGCGCCAACACACCAGACATGCGTGACAAGCTTGCCATGGCCACGATGATGTCGGTTTCGAAGCCAAAAGCAGTGTACAGGAAGCACCCGTAAAGGTCTGCATTGGCCTTCAAGTTACGGCTCGTAAAGTACTTGTCGGCATTGGCAACACGGTCAATCTCCATCGCGATGGACAGTAAAGGATTCGACTCCACTTTGTCCTTGTACTGGTCGATCATGGCGCGGATGAACTTGGCTCGGGGGTCTACGGCCTTGTAGATACGGTGGCCGTACCCGAAAAGACGTTGCTTCTTGGCCTTGACGTCCGCTATCAGTAACGGCACATTTTCAGGGGTCTTGAGATCCTCAAAGGCCTTGTAGGCTAGTTCGATGGCGCCTCCGTGAAGCGGGCCGTACCCGGAGACAAGGCCAGAGATACAACATGCAAGAGGGTCCGTCAGGGTCGAGGCGGCATGTAAGAAGGCGGCGGTTGAGTTCGTCATCTCATGGTCAGCGTAGAGGATCCAGAGCTTCTCGAAGCATTTGACAATTTCTTGGTTGGGCTTGCCACTATGCTCGTCTTCATGAAAGCCCATCATGCGCAGCATATTGGCGATGAAGGAGTCTTCGGGATCGGCAGGGGTGAAAATCTTATTGCGCTTGCGGCAGTATACAAGGGCAACGACAGTGGCGAGGGCAGAGATGCAGCCGATGAGCGCTTCATCGACCTTGTCAGCCTGGCCCATGAAAGCTGGTCGTCCGGACTGGAGTGTGGTAATGGCGCCTTCATCATGACTAGCATAGGCGGCCATGCCTGCAAAGACCATTGTGCTCGTCAAGGAATCTCGAGGGAAAGACTCAATGACTTGGACAACGTGCGGAGGGGGGATGCAGCCGGCAGCAATCTTGCGCCGGAAGGTCTCCTTCTCAGCCGCGTCAGGAAGATGGCCCCAAATCAAGAGAAAGACGACCTCCTCATAGTCGTGGTGCTCGAAGAGGTATTCAATTGAGTAGCCGCGGTAATGGATAGATCCATGTCCGCCATCGATATAGGTAATGTTCGACTCGACGCAGGCGGTATTCAGGTACCCAGGATCCAAAATTTTCAGACCACAATAACTGACAGAGCTGGCATCAGCCTGAACAGAAACGATCTTTTGAAGTTCGAGGGCTTTGATTGCGTTTCGGTTGATTGGGATTTCGTATCGCCGCTGGGTGCGGTTGTCGCAAACTGTCAAAGTTCCGCTGGATGGATCGGCCTTGGTCCGGAACAGTAGGCTACGCGCAAGCTGTGTTGGCAGCATCAATGTCTGGACAGCTCGGGGCATGCCCATTTTCATGATAGTGAATGTTTGGCCGAGTTTACTGAAAGGTTGAGTTACATAGGAAGCGGTAGCGGCACCGATGTTGTAAGCCTTGCTCCAGAATGAGTTTCTTAACCGCAGGTATCCTGGATGAAGCTTCTGAGCCTCATCGCTCCTGAGGATTTTCTTGATAGTAAGGCTTTCTTGAGTTGAAGTTCGTTTGATCGACTTCTGGAAATCTTTGGCGGTATTCATTGAGTTGTCCTTAGACTGGACAACTGTCTGAATAGTGTAATTGGTGTCCATGGTCTCGAAGTTTGTTGAAATATGGTTAATGAAGATACTTCTTCTCTCTATTCCCAACTTCAGACGAGCACCTCCGTCAGGTTTAAATATTCAGAATTCTCTTTTCGTGTATCACCAGATCGCATCAGTTTGTGACTGGGCGACAAGGGGTACAGCTGACAACGGGAAACGTCCACCAGGACTTTAGCACAACGTGTCAAAGCAACTGAATCATTTCTTCCGCCCGGGCAACTAGAAACGAAGCCGCAAAAGGAAACATCTTGCACTCTGATCACTACGGAAGGCAGCAATAGACCCCAATGGGGGCTCCATCTCGCCCGGTCACCGAGTTCTTCACGCCGACGCCGAAGCTCTCAGCGCAATGGCGGAAGCGCTTGTTATCGCAATCGCGTGATGTCTAAAATGCTGACTCTCTGGGCTGAGCGGATATCGTGAAGTGGAACAATCTGGGGGCCATGAAATCCGTCGACCCCAGTGAGTTATCGTGAGCATGGCCACTTGAGCGCAAAGTTGCGCAGCTGCCAATGTAAGGCTTACATTTCACCAACACACTCTCCGTCTGGGCAGTGTCATCAGCTCCGAGTCATCGAAGAAGAGCCTCGTAAAGAGTCTAGGACTCTTGTTTCGGTATTGGATACACCGAAAAGACCCGTAAAATAGTTCTGAATTCAGGTAGGCGTTGCCTGATTCCGATCACGCAGGCACATCAGGCTTCGATGTGTCTACGCCGTTCTCGCACATCAAGGCTGAGTGCGGCGTGGGGCCTTGGCCCGGGCCGGAAATAAATCCTTGAGTCGCGAAACCGCAGTTGGTTGTATTAAGTAAGATTGCCTTCGAGTTTCCTTTGCACACAATTTGCCCTTCACATGACGAGAGGTCGGAGGTGTAGTTCGGTGAAGACAAACTTGCGGCTGAAAACGCCTAATCCGGGCATCTTTTCCACTAGTATCAAAACTAGACCGTATTAGATCGAAGAAACAATAGGTTCAAGGTAAACTTTGCATCTGATGTATTCTTACACTTAATTGGGCAGAGGGTTTGTGGACGAAACGGTGATGCCGCCCACACCAACGGAAGGTCTGGTCGGAGCTCAACGGTGGTCGGGCCCCACAAGAAGCCGATCGAGGCGGCGGTCGGACGTGAGTAAATGCCGGAAACTAGAATCCGACACGGTTCGGTGCCCCTCCCGACGGACAAAAAAACGGGGCATCCTCAAACATGTATCACATCCGGATACCGTTTTTACCCCATAGAGAATTCCGAGCAACAGATTTTTGCCTTTTTAGTGATGCTGAGTGAGCTCAAATGAGTGATGTCGCGGAGTCCATGGAGCGCGACAAAGCTGTAGATAACCTGACCAAGCATGTGTCAAAAGTCTATTTCAGCAGTATTTCTGCTAGCCACATGCGCTATTAGGCTAATATCAGCGCAAACTCTCCATCATGCCACATGGCCGCGCCTCTACAATGAATAGGATGCATGTCTGTGAGTACAAGTAGACTTCTTTTCCCAAAAGTTGGGCTGCCCAAAGATCACACAAAGCTTGGCGGAGTCTTCATCGTCGATCCCAAAGCCCGTTTCCGAGATTCCGACGCCGGCCATTCACTGAACATCCCGAGCAGCCCGCACGTTGCAAAAGCAGGGGCTTTATGGTCAAATGCGGGGAAACGTGTGTGGCGAACATCAAGTATATGTTTAAAGGAGCCCCAGTGAAATCACAATCTATTTCGGCCGGCCTCTACAGCTACTCGCCATTCATAGTAGATGCATCTATAGGTGGCCGATTCGCGAAATGGAAAACACACCAAATACAGCCGCACACGACTTCAGGCGTTATGTTCCACCAAAAGGGAAGTACTCATTAAGTAGAGCTTCATTGCCTTGTTCTTTTTTGCAACAAGCGACGTTCAGCTAACAGCGAGCAGACTGGTCGCGATTTGAGGGAATAGACGTCAGTGACCCCCATAAGTATTCGGAGACCATTTTGAAAAGTCCACATCTAGAGGCGATTCGGGAAGATTGGAGAAAGAAACTCGATGTTCCATTCTACGGCGTCACAAACGATGGGAAAAGGAGAGAGGGCCTTTATCAGATTCGAGATGAGGGTGCACCGACGAAAAATATGGTAATTAAGAACGATCAACTCTAGCTAGGTATTGTCGACATGCGTTGACTCCGAATAGGTTGAAGCGGCTCGCAGAGTGCTAAGCTCACTCAGCCCGTCCGAAAAAGCAGACTCAGTCCATGACGTGGATTCGGATAAATGGTACGTCGCTATTGCAGACAACAGTAACCAGGCGAGACCAGAGTATTGATGAGATATCTTCGTCCGAGCAGTAGAAGGTGGAGTAATCCAGAGTTTGTGTTGCACCAATGCGGTATACGGCTCGAGGACCTGGAGAAAACGAAAAGAGAGGCCATCATAGATCTTTTGGAGCAATCTCTGAGCCCAAGTGGTTTTGCCAAGGTCCGAGGGGCAATGAAAGTGAACAAGTTCTTGGGGGAAATTTGTGGGAAAGAAGCCATCTTGAACGAACACAGCTATTCGTGAGAACCCCGGTACCCCTTTTCTTCTCTACCAGACTAAGACGATTCTTACACTTAGTTTCACGTTATTCGGCGAGCCATCAGAAACAGAACCCTGGGGTTACATGTTGTTTGGTCATCATCTATGCTTGAACGTCTTCATCGCTCGCCAGCAAATGGTGATAGGACCAGTCTTTATCGGTGCCGAGCCAAACGTGGGTTCTTCATCATCTGTTTAGCCCAGGTCATTGACAAAGCTGACAGTGCGGAAGATCATTGACGAAGGCCTCGACAAGGGTCTCACGCTGTGCGCCAACGAGGGCCAGTTAGGCCTACAGCTGATGCAGTCTCTACCCCCGAAGCTGCAACAGAAAGCTCAAGTATACCCTACAATGAAAGATCCTGCAATGCCAGAAGGCCGGTGGAACCCAGCCGACCAGGTAAGATGTTCTGCTCCTGTCCTGCGGACTCCTGGCCAACAGATATTTATAGAGACACATGGCTGGAGCCTTCCAAGACAACCGCGTGATTCCCTACGAAGGCGTTGTTGTTACGGACATGTCCGAGGAGCAGCAGATACTCGTCATGGCTATCGTGCATGAGTTCTTGGCCCTATGGCCTTCTGAGCCACTCCGTCACCGTTTGAAGCAGATACTCAAGCACCTCACCGAAACGCACTTTTCTTGGATTGGCGGGTTCGGAGAAGATAAGCCTTTCTACTACCGGATTCAAAGTCCGGTGGCACTTTTTGAGTTTGACCACCACTCGGGGGTCTTCCTGACCAACAAAGAGCCCGCCAAGTATCACATCCACACGATCCAGAGACTTCCGAATGGCAATGATTACGGGAGGGCACTGCGGGAACTGCTCCGAGCTCGATAGGAAATGGTCGATCAAGTATCCTCGAGGTGTTTACTCCGAACCACACTTTGTTGGACCAATTGTGTAACATCTCCAGTTTTGAGTTGAGTGAGTGCCGAGCGTAGGAATCACATCCTGTCTTGGCGTGGTGTTAGGTGCATGAGGATCGCCACGGCCCGCTCAAGGTAACCAAACGGATTTTCTGATTGACTTGCCCACCATTCGTACGTCATATGTCAGCCGCATGGCTGTGGGTTCCCGAGGAACAGTTTTCGTAATATGCCAAGACGTTGTGATGGCGAAGCACTTGGCCCCGCGACCGTTGGCGGAGGTGATGCGCCGTGCCAAAGCCCGCCGTCTTGGCCCGCAGAGCTTCACGGCTCGGAATTTTGAGTCGGCGGTGATCGCCACGAGTGACATCAGTCTCCGGACAGGAATCGACAACAGCATTTTGAGGATCGTATCGTTGGAATAGCCTCATGGAACGATGGCTCCTTGGGACTTGTTGGGCTCCCGTACAGTTGCACTTTTTGCCCGAATAGCAACGGAGAATTGACTCTCAATTTTTGCAGCTTTGTATCTGGCATTCCAGACCTCTATGATATAAAAGACATGGTGCAGCCAACGGCTACAGGGAGGGATAATCCGTCTAGTCCCAAACCTTAACAATCCAGTCTCGGAGATTTATTATCCAGTCACAACCTTTCAACAACGTCAGCCCGTGTCACTAGGATGTTGGGTACAGTACTACCGAGCCAATCCCTCGGTGAGGAGACACCGACGGAGTTTGCCATCCTTTCACCAACCCACGCCATCTTCTTCGTAGCAGTGGGCTTGCTGCTCTACTTTCTCTATAGACAAGCTCTCCCCAAACCAATCCCTGGCATCCCTTACAATGAGGCCGCAACAAAGAGCATACTTGGGGATGTTGCCTCGCTGCAAGAGGGCATAGCCCGAACGGGCGCTTTCCAGATATGGCTTCACGAACAAGCAGCAAAGCACAACTCACCCCTTTTCCAGATCTTCATCCGCCCTTTCGGAAAACCAATGCTCATTCTCTCTGATTTCAGAGAGGCCCAAGATGTGCTTTTGCGACGGGGCAAGGAGTTCGACAGAGCGAGCATCGTGGGTGACATGATCTCCGGGGCTGTGCCCAATCACCACATCATCATGAAGACGAACAGCGAGTGGAAGCATCATCGAAGACTCCTGCAGGACCTCATGTCTCCCCAGTTCCTGAACGAGAACGCCGCGCCCATCCTCTACTCTGGCATCCTGCAGCTCATCCAGCTCTGGAACGACAAGGCTCGCATCGCAGAGGGCCGCCCCTTCCAGGCTGACTCCGACATCTACTACTCTATTCTTGATGCGACGACGGCTTTCTCCTTTGGAGCTGGTGCCAAAAGTGCTATCCGTCCTACCGTGGAGCTTGTGAAAGGCCTGGGTGCTGATGACATTCGCCGGCTCAGAGGATCAACGCCTGCTGGCGGCGAGCAGCCTCTGCACTTTCCCACGGCTAAGATCGACGAGAGCCTCAGGGCATCGCTTGATGTGGCGGATGCAATCGAACAGCTTCAAGGATCGCCTATCCCTAGACTCAAGTGGAAACTCAGCGTCGAGAGGCAACCTGCTGTACGCCGAGCTATTCAGATTAAGAACGCTTTCCTCCGCGAGGAGATCAGCAAAGCCCTAGATAGGACGCAGAACTCCAAGGGGTCCAAGGAGCATTCTTCTGCCGTTGAACTCATGGTTTCGAGGGAAAAGAAGCTCGCCGATAATGATAGTAGGAAACCAGACTTCTTCTCTGCTATGATGATGGACGAGGTAAGTTTGAAGCATTCGCTCCGTGCTCATTGATCGTCTCTCATATCACATATTCTTAGATCTACGGACTCATGATAGCAGGACACGACACTACCAGCACCACCCTGGGCTGGGGTGTCAAGCTTCTGGGGGACAACATAGAAGCCCAGTCCAAGCTCCGCGAAGTCCTAAAGTCCGCGTTTCCTGACGCTGTTGCTGAGAACCGGAATCCGGCAATCAAGGAGATCACTGGAACTAAGGTCCCATACCTGGACGCCGTAGTAGAGGAGATTATTCGACATGGCAGTGCCGCTGTTCTCCTGGATCGTGAGGCTATCTGCGACACGGAACTCTTCGGTCATCGCATTCCCAAGGGCACCATCATCCTCTCGCCCGCCCGCGGACAGAGTATCCTGAAGCCCTCCATCCCGGTCGACGAGTCGCGGCGCAGCAAGAGCAGCCAGAACGCAAAGGCCAGAGCGTGGGACGACGCAGACATCACGCAGTTCAAGCCGGAGCGCTGGCTCGTCGATCCCAACGGTTCCTTGCCCGAATTTGACCAGCAGGCTGGGCCCCAGCTTGCGTTTGGCTTCGGTACCCGAGGCTGTTATGGACGACGTCTGGCATACCTCGAGATGCGCATTATCGTCACGATGATTGTGTGGAACTTCCAGCTGCTTCCTTGCCCGAAGGAGCTGTCTAGCTACGCCCCTAAGGAAGGTTTCACGTATAAACCCAAGGACTGCTATGTGCGCTTGCAGGCTCTTCATTGAGCCGACGGCGAGGAACTTGTACTTGCGATGTATTGTGAAACATTGTCTTTTTTCCGAGCATGGTATTTTCTTGTTTATTCCAGCTATTGAAGGTGCAATTAGACTGATGACAGGCGACAAGGATGATAGAGGCATGTAGGTTTTACTAAATAAAATAAAGTATTTTTCGACGCATGGTATCCATATGTATTTAAGACAGGAGAAAGTGCCTTGTAAAATACCTCGGCTCCTGTGCTAGCCTGAGAGTACTGTGCCTTACAAATACCAAAACCCCCGTTGGTGGAAAGAAGAATGAGGGTTCAATCTGGTCTTGAGCAGGTCATCAATTTTCTTCATTAATCATCTGGCCTCTTGATATAATAGAAGGTACCTTAAGGTATCAAAAAGAAAAGGAGAGAAAAAAAAAAGAACCAAAAGCTCGGGTTCTCAGTCCGTGAATCGAACCGGCTACACCTACGAAACCCTCCATCTTTGCAGACTTCTCGAGATTTCATACCAAGTTCGTATACCAACGGACTAAAGCGTTGTACCGCTCGACCACGCGGGTCAAGGGGGCTTGGTTGACGAAAGAGCGATCTCAATCTGGATATAAGGCATGCGCCCTGCGGTTACTGCCTGGGCTGATTGGGATTGACACTGCAGAAGGAAGGAAGTCTACCTTAGGGGACGGGCTTCCTTCCTGTTTGACCCATGGGACATATGTCACGTGCAATCGTTAACATCACTCACATTTCTGACTACAGCACAAGTATGTGAGGTGTTTTTGTCTCCTAGTACAACGCAAATCAGTCTTTCCTACCCGGAGACTGAGGCTGGCTGGCTAATTTATCACAGCATTCACAACATCAGGTCCTGTATCGTTCGTGACAACCATCCCACCAATGTGGGAACCCCGCAAATAGTTGTATTATACGCGATATCCATGGGTGATTCTCTTAGTGACCGTATCTCAAAGATATTGAGGCTCCCCTATATCGCAGCAATATTTTAGCCAGATGAGAGAGCCTTCTGCCGTAACTGACAGCAATTACTTGATGAATGGAACATGTGCAGAGCATGTCGCGGTAATTATCTTTCTCATTCACATGTACAGTATTGTAGACCATGATATTAGGAATTAGATTCCTCACTTCGAACATGATGTGATTTTGTATCAAAATGATTTGATTAAGGTGAAATATGTGACCCCTTCTCACTTAGAATTTTATTCATGTCTCTAACTCATTACCAGAAACGACTAGGATGCTTGAGCCCCAGCCTCGAAAACGTTGATAACACCGTCGCCATTGAGATCAGCCGGGTCACCGGGTGCTGCGGGAGTTCCGTTGGGGTTGTTGCGGTCAAAAGTGCTCTGAAGCTGCTCGATCAAGCTTGAGCCACCGCCGCCTCCGTTTCCACCTTGCTTTGGTTCTCTCGTGTCCAATGCGCTGATGTCTTGGCCTTCATCGTCATCGTCTTCGAGATCCCTGGCGACAAGCTCGTCGAGATCTCTGTCAACAAGGATAGCGCCGCCTACGTCGCCACCGGGGTTGTTCGAGGCGACTCGCGCCTGGAGGTCCGAGATGGCTTCCTTGCCAGACAAAGGTTGAGGAAGTGCAGTTACGACGCTGCTCAAGAAAAGGACTGCGACGGCAGAGAACTTCATTTTTGCTGATAGCAGAAGGTCAGAAGGAAATTCCTGATCGGCGGTATAGTAATAATATTATGAGAGTTGTAAGATAATGACTACTGCCTGAGTAGTGAGATAAAAGAAATCCAGGAGACTAGATAAAGAGTATTGAAAGTGAGATGAGCTACTTCCAAGAGTCATTACAACATATTTGGGGTTACTGCTGGAACGCCTTTTATAGCAACCGCGCGCAGGTATGTCTGCTTTCAATGAATCCTATCAGGCATTGAGTGTGATGATCCATGATGTTGATGCAAAACTGTTTGGGCTTCCCTAGCATGGGCATGTCAAAGTCGTCCTAGGAGGAAGATCCCAGAACGTGAGATGGGAATTCTCTCCAGTCTCCATCGGCAGAAAATGAGACGGTGTTTGACACGACGACATGACGGCTGACTCAGTCTCATCTGTGCAGGGCAGAAAAAGGCACTCTTAACATGGAAGTTGCTAGGGCAAACTCATGACTTATAGGTTGTTGAAACTGCTTATTGATTCCGTCTCAACTTCCTTTGGTGTGACATATGTCAGCGTCTCAAGCTGTAGCCCCTATTTCCACATCCTCTAACATTCCCCTCAAGCTTAAAACTATTGTTGGCTAGCTAAAACAACACCAGACGTCCACACCGGTGTTTCATCTGATCACACGCAATCAAGCTACTGAATTCATCTCTTATCAATTCAGATGTTAACCCAAAGAAGAAGCATACCGCTCAAGCACAACGCGAAAGCGATGCATCAGACCAACCAACATGCGGTCGCATGTCATGGAAGCCCCAGTGGACTACAAGATGCCCCCCACTTTGGACATGTCAACAGGCTCTCTAAGCCTAGACTCTAGATCAAAATAAGGCGATGGAACGCGGGAGTCGATTGCTTGTCCGAGGAAAAGGTCGCAAAAGGCTTTTGTTGACAGGAATACGCGGGCCATTCCTAGAAAGTTGACTTTTCATCAGCACAAGATAGAGAAAAGGGAGTTCGCGACTGTAAAGATGTGGTTCAAATTTCTCCAGCACCATTATCAAAATGTGGAGGCGGAAAACGTTGAAAAGACGCATGATGCTTACCGTGACCGTGATAGCCGCCGATGAGATACTGGCCAGGCTTTCCAGGCAGCTCTCCTATGAAAGGCAACAGGTCCTTACTGAGCCCCATGATGCCGCTCCAAGCAAATGGAACAGGATCTTTGACTCCGGAACTTGGACTTTCGATAGACTCCTTCCAGCCCTTGAAAGTCCGAGATGGCCCTTCTTTGATGAAGTCAAGCACCTCGGGAACGGCAAAGGAGTCATCGCAGTCTCCGTAGCCGCCCTCAGGCCCGTTCGGATGTGCACCTTCTCCTCCGCCCCAGATCAGGTACTTTTGAGAACCGGAACGTTGAACAAGATAGTCGTAATTCTCATCGGACACGAACGCAAAGGAAGTAGATAGCGGTAAGTCGACGTATGCGGGTGGAGGCGCGATGGCCGCAACGTGACCCTTCAGGGGAATGATGCGCCCATCAAGTTCCGGCAGTAGATGGGAGGCATACCCGTTGGTGGCGTGTATCACCTTATTGGCAGTGATATTGCCGCGACCAGTCGTGATAGTCCAACTACCATGCTCACCGTCGGCTTGAGAAACTTCGAGCACTGGGGTGTTAGTCTCAAGCTGAAGGCCAGCCTCAAGAGACTTTCGAATCATAGCCATAGCCAGCTTATACGGCCAGAGGCTTGAAGCAGGAAACGTGATGGCGCCAGAACAGCTTGTGATGCGAAGAGTTTCTTCGGCTTCAGTCTTTGATAAGACAGTGATTTCGGAGACGTCGCCACCTGCTTCCTTGAAGCCGTTGTAAGATGCAAGTCCGGCTTTCCAGGTGGTTTCCGTCAGATACACATCCGCGGATCGATACTCGACGAGGTCTATCTCTTCATCAAGGCCATTCTCTCGAATGTATGCCAAAGTTTCGCGGTGGTTAATTGCTTCGAATGTGCATTGTGCCACAGCTACCTCGGGGCCATGCAGCTTGGAGTATGCGGTGAACCCCCGATAGCAGTCAGGTTTGATGTGCCCACCTACGGCACAAAGTCAAACCTCGTTGGCCGTAAAGAAGATTTGCCGGTTTTGAGAATGAAAACTTGCTCACCATTTCTACCTGTAGCGCCACTTACCGCGGCTCGGGCTTCGAGCATCAATACGGACTTTGGTCTGTTGGGCGACTGATCTGTGAGCAGTCGATGGGCAATAAAGGCACCAGATATACCAGCTCCGATGATGACTACATCCGCTGACGTGGGAAGTTCATGACTAGAAGCACTCAGACGTCAGTCCACCCGCTGCTGTTGACTACTGCGACAAGAAAGAAAGTTGAAAGCCGAAGCAATATTCTCTATCATCTTGTTAGATGCAGGATTACACCGACGTTTGATAAGAACGGAAAGCACTTAATGACTCCCTGCTTCGGGGAAAACGTTTCTAATTTGTAAGATCAGGTTACAAGCTTCTTTGACTTACGACTGGTGGTTGCTTATAACTGAATCTGGTCCAGACTGCCAAAACGAAGCTGTCGGATTACTGACTGGCAACGTTGCCGTGTAAGTTGGGCCCGACGCCATTGATACCTAGGCCAGGAGAGAGTGAGAAAAGCCACTAATGTGGAATACTGAATATCGGTTGATCGCAGGTTTGCTTCAACTTTTGAAGCAGACCATCTGAGGACGGTGATGGAAGATGAGATATGCACTGATAAGCCAGCCGGTCACCGGAGGGAACGCGGGGAACACGGCCACCCCACCTACCCAAGCTAGAGCGTTCCCCACCATCAAGTTGGGAAGCAGACGATCTCCTCAAACGCTCGATAGAGGACATTGACTGTTCTCTTCATTCAGTAACTTTGTAGTTCACTTCGAGGCCCGTCAATTCGTGCTTCAACAAGTAGGTAAGAAATCGTTACGGCTGCTGTCAGCAAGTCGAGCCTTGGATAGGTATGTCTCTTGCTACACAAAGCTAAGCACAGTAGTCTATGCCTGCACAGGGTGTTTCCACGCTTCATACGCGACCCAAGCCTGGAAAATGCCGACGACCAGTCCCAGTATCCCGAGAATAATTGCAATGATCACTCCAATAAGTGTCGCTAGCATCACGTGCCTAGCGTTACTCCTCCGTTCCAACCAGATATAGATAGGTCTTCGAGGTCTTGGGTTCTCGAGTTCGTCGTACAGGTCCATCAATCGTGAACCCCAGTAATGGTACTTTATATCTTTCTCTGAGTCGCGGAGGTATGGCCGGTACCCGAGACTGAGGCAGTCGGGGTCGAAGGAAGCTTTCGATACCAAAGATCGTAGGAAAGCTCGCGATTCCTTGTCTAGGGGGAAAAGAATATTCTGGAGAGAGTGTAGAGTCTCCCATGCTAGTTGTCGCGGTAAGAGAGGCCTACTGTATGTCAGTTATGACATTCAATAGTCATTTGCTTTCAGGCCTTTACTCCACATCAGCCTCCTTGGATGCTTTGAGGCACTCCTTCAGAAAGGCAGTGTGGTGATAGAGCTCTATGATTCCAGTCTTGGGATCCAGCCGAAGGTGGTTTCGAAGATCATCTGTGCCTCGGAACGACACTCCAGCGACTTTCTTGAGCCTTGTTGCTTTTAGAGCCGACATGATATCGGGTAAGGAGTCGTCAGGCTCGTTGAGGTCGGGATGGTCCCTCACTGGGAACATAGTTAATACCAGCTTCCGCGCAGATTGCTCGTTTTTCCAGATACTGGACTCGCTGCCACCAGCTTGTCCCTCGCACGAGCAGCTGACCATCATGATAGCCCTGAGGGCAAGACTGAAGGCCTGCTTCTCGTCTTCCGGCACGGTGCTCTTGTCTTCTTGTCTCTTCAAAAAGTATTCTTCCGTCAATTCCTGTAACCGAGCCTCTGGTTTGGACCGGATCAACACGATAATATCATGTAGATCATCATGCGACCGCAACGCTTGAACCTCGTCTGGTGGGAAGGCGTCAGAGACGTATGACGCCGTTATCTCTCGGTAGTACTGAAAATAGGGTTCAAGTTTTGTCATTTCAAGCTTCGAACTTCTGTCTTCATCGTTAATGCAAATTTTCCAATTCCACAGAGCTTCACCTAGTTGTCGTAGTTGCGACTCTGTGGTCGACTCCAACGGAAATGTTTCCATCTCATACTCGTCCATTGTGGTCGAAGAAACCCACCAGAAGTTTTACAGAAAATGTTCAAGAAACCAAGATATTCAAGTCTTCTACTAGAAACACAAATTCTCAAGCGAGACCAAGTAATCAAGAAAGAATGGAGCGAGGTGTTGCCAGCTTCGGCGTACACACGCACGCCGGAAGCAGGCTGCGGGATTGGGGGTTGTCATTGGATCATCCGTACGACTCTGCAGCCGCGGCTGCATGCACATTGCATCAGGCTAGCATCAGGGGGCTGAGCTGTTGACGTGGCATTGGTGATTGAAATAGGAATATTCGGTGAGATGAAAGGAAGCCCAACCCTGCTTGGTCAACTTCGCTTTATATGTAGAAGGCGTTTCTCCTCAGCTCTGAGCCAGAATAGTGCATCTTCCCTTCGTATGGGCCTTTCAACCATGGCTGAAGTATCTTTGGCAGTCGCCACTCACGATGCAGCCATCAGCTGCTTCAAGGAAACACCCCAAGAGCCACGAGCGCCTAAACCAGCTCCAGATTGCTCAATTTCTACCGCAGAATCACCGGCCATGTCGCAGAACTTCACAGATTCGGGATATTCATCTCCAGATGACCCTACAGCGTCTGAGCCTCAAGACAGCAAGTCTCCTAGGCTTAAAGGAATTCCAGTCAAGCTGGGCGGCCAGAATCTCTTCAGGTTCAAAGGCACACCAAGCAAGGCAAGGAATGATCGATTCAACTACGTTATCGATCAGATAGAGCCGTTGCTACATGCCCACCTGAAGAAAACCGGGGGTCGACTTGGACCAATGTCATTTCGAACAATGATACTCGGGGCAAATGAAGAGGATGCCGGCGAGTATATCGTCGTGCTTTGTCCTAAAAAGCTGTCGGAGACTGTGAACGACTTCTTCGATAAGACCAAGATAATCCAAGAATTATGCGAGCCAACCGAACAGACGGCAAGACTCAGGATTATCGTCGAGGGCCGAGAACCTCGCTTGACGGCGAAGCTGTTGCGCTCACTCCTGGCAATAGACCGCCGTGCCATCAACCGTTATCCAGATTATAGGCTGTCACTTTGCGGATGTTCTCTGAGACTCAAAGGTATTCAGAAAAACGGAAAGACCGCCACGTTCGGCGGCATGATCAAGGTGGTGAATAAGGCCGGTGAAAGCAAACTGTACGGAATGACAGTGGGCCACGTCTTCAATGAAGAAAACACGACAAGCTCTGAAGAGAGCAGCTCCGAAAATTGCAACAGCGCTAGCTCGACCACATCTCGACTGGAGCGGAACCATGGTTCTGAAGTGCTGGAGGGGTTTCGTACATGCCAAGTTTTAAAGAAAGACGAATCCCAAGAAGAAGGTCCGGATTTCGATTGGGCTTTAGTCGAATCTGATGACTTTCTCCTGGTCGACTCAAATATGGGCCCAATTAATGACACCTTCGGGTTTTCCAAATACCCCCTCACGACTAATTTCGGAAGATTTTCAGGTGACGAGCCCTACCAGGAGGTTAAGATGATCGCAAGCACCGTGGGAACTAGATCTGGTCTGCTGTCGAGTGAACCAGCTCGATTTTGGTCGGAAACGGCAGATGTATCGACACCCGCCTACATTCTCTCCTTGAATGAGGGAGAGGGTAAGTATCACTTGATCTCATAATGGACGCAAAGAGCTATGGTTGACACTCGTTCACAGTTGGAAAAGGTGACTCCGGTGCATGGGTCGTTGGGGCATCTTCTTGTGATGTTTTCGGCCACACCATTGCAGCAGACATGTTCGGCGACGGATATGTTTTCCCTTTGGATCAAACATTTGCAGACATTCAAAGAAGTCTAGGCGCAGACTCTGTTCGACTGGCGTCTGCAGAAGACTTTGGATCAATCAGACGCTCCAATAAGCGGCCCTCCGAACAATTGTCATCTGGACTTGGGCTTTCTGAAGGCGAACCCAGTCATTCTAAGCGTCGCAAGACTTCTATTGTCAAGGCCCAATCTCCAACTCCGATGTCAGATGAAGAGGCTGTGGCAATGGGTGATGCGATATTCGAGGCTGTGCCTCCGGATTCCGCTTATGGGTCAGCACATGTCACCCCCCAGTCAATTGACAACGCATCTCCTTTCGAATCACATGTTTCTCTAGGTCCCGCAATGCCTTTGTTTTCCAGCTTTACTGAACAGGCTCCTCTCGATGGCTTGATGTGGGGTTTCACTGGAGAGGCTCACGTCCCTTGGACTTTGCCCTCCCCGAATTTCTTCCTTGAGACGTCAATTGAGGAAAGTCAAAAAGGGCCATCCTCACAGGGGAGACCTTCTGGTGAAGGGCCACTCCTATGAAACTCTGATTATGGGAAGATTGACTACAAGAAAATGTGAAAGAATCTTGCCAGGTAGTCTAGTACTGAGGACGTAAATAAGCCAAATTTCTCAACCACTGCGAAAAGTACTTGAATCAGGTTATGAAAGCTTTCTACATTTAACTTCTTACTTATGGAAGGGTGAAGCTTGTCGCTCCGAGTGTCACAAGGCAAGACACCATTACAGAATAAATAGACTTCCCTCACGAAGTCAAACGGGTATTCAAGAGAGAATCGAAGCAAAAGAAGAAAGCCTAGAAAAAGAGGAGTACAAGATTTCCCATCGGAAACATGACCCTCCCCCCCTTTCCCTATAGCCCCTATTTATATATGTACATACAAGAACACCCAGTTGAGAATGCTGTCCTCACGGCCGTGCGCGTTCGCGTTTCGCCTTAGCCCATGCCCATGAATCCCTCAGCCCCTTTGCCCGTGTCCTGTCCTGTCCTTGTCCAGAAGTTTTCCCAATGATGTGTGTGTTTGTGTGCGAATGGTGTTTTGTCATTAAAATGACCCGGACCTCGCGATGTCGAGTCTGGGTGGGATACAATGCCACTGTTGTCTAGTACGGCAGTCTTTCTTGATTCATGATGTGTGGTTCTGGCCGTTGATGCCTCTACAAGGGCGCGGGGGGCTCATCAACCATTTCAGCGTCCTCGGTGACGGCGAGCACGGAGTCGAGCACGCCGTCGGGACCCTCACCATCGTATGTCTTGCCGCCCTCGTACGTCTTCCGTCTCCAGCCGCATGATTCCGACGGGTCCTTGGTCCACTCCGTTGTCGGGAAGTAGTGCTCGTTCTTCTTCATGGTGATTACCCAAGGCACGCTGTCAAAGGTGACAGCCTTAAGTCGGAAGTCTGCAAGGAACACGATTAGCTAATATACAAGAAAAGAATGACCTGGAAAGCCACTTACAGGTGTTGTCTGGGATCTTCTGGACGGAGGCGAGGAATGTCTCCAGATCAGGCGTCGCCTTGCCGTTCACGTGGGTGATGAAGTTGGTGGGTGCGAGGCCGTACTGGTAGGAAGGCGAACCGCGAGTGCGGGCCGACACGTACACCTCGCTGTGCAGCTTGCTAATCTGCTGTCTGACGGCATGGTGAGGTCGGTGCAGAATGGCTCCACAGAAGGAGATGGCATGGTCGGTCTCGACATCGTCGGCGGCGACGGTGTGAGCCTTAATATGGATCTCCTCGCAGTTGCGGACGATGACGGCGTCGAGGACCTCGTGAGAGTACATAATGTCCAGCTCGGAGACCTTGGTGATAACCTTACCGTTGAGCGTGAGCAAGATATCACCTTCGAGCAGAGCGCTTGACTGCTCGCTGCGCTCAAAGGTCCGCTTGCTAACCATGAAGAGCTGGTGGTGTGTCTTGTTGGCTTCGGTGACCTTGCTGATCCACTCGTCAGAGACGCCCATCACTCTAGCTTGAGCCATGGCGATGGCTCTGAACTCGACGGAGAGCATGCGCAGTTTGGGAACGATGCCCTGTTGAATTTGAGACACGACAGGCAGAAGAGTAGGCGTGGCAAGACCGAGGTGGTACTCCTCATCACGGTTGCTGCAAGGTGAACGCTCGCCCAAGTAAGTGAGCCAGAGGGCCTGAACCGTGCCATCGTCGGCGACGAGAACACCGCTTCCACACTGGTTGCTGAGACTCGTATCAACAGTGATGGCATCGACGTTGATGGCACGGTATCTGGGTGCACCAGAGTTGGCCGGGATAGCCACGGCAGTGACCTCGGTGACTGTGGTGGAGGCATGGACAATCTTTCCAATTCTGTTGTATCCCATGAAGTTGGTGGAAGCTCCTTGGGTGATGTTGTCCGTGCTCAACCTCGCACTTTGAACGGGAGCATTGACCAGCGCCGGGTCGTACTGCACAATGGCATAGTTCTGAAGGGGGTGGAGGAACACGACCTTGCCCTCGACAATGATCGAGTCCGCAATGGTGATTGTCACATCGCACAAATCGTAAGGCACAATCGCTCTTGAGATGACAACAAGACCCTTGTCGGCGTCAATCACCAGGCCCATGCCCCACTTCCTGTTCTTAGGGAAGCCGTCCAGCTTAACAGGCATGGTGCAGTTGACGTGGACGAAGCTGCGCACCAGGTCGGCAATAGCCGTGTGCTTCACATTCTCGAGTTGAATGAAAGAAGCAGAGCGAGCAACAGGCGCCTTGGGAGGAAGGGGATCAGCCAAGTCAGTGAAGTCCCAGAGGCCAGTCTCGTCGTTGCGGACAGCCATCTTCATCTTTGCTGACCAATGTCGGTCAACGTAGATGATTGTGGTGTTCAGAGTGTGCAGGTCACGCAGGTGCTTATAAGTGACGACCACGCGGGACTTGTCTGGAATTGTCTTCATCACCTCGATGAAGGTTTCCAGATCAGGGGTCTTCTTGTGGTCCACAGTCTGAATCAGCCAGCCATTGTCCGCGTTGTCGAATCTGAAAGAGCCAGTCGCCTCGCAAACGAAGACACCTTGACATGCGACACCGTATAGACGGGCCTGCTGGTATGACAGGCTGTGAAAGCTGGCACCTGCGACGGACACGAAGCGATCGGGAGTGATCTGGTGTAGGTCACCGACCTCGACATCGACCTCAATATCCTCGCCGCCTCTTTGGATCTGAAGATGGATGGTCTGGCCAACATTTGAGTCCAGCAAGTCATCCAGGCGGATGAACTGACCCACACGCTCGCCGTTCACCTTAACAAGAATGTCACCCTCCTCGATCTTCTGGTCAGACTGCCCCTTAGGGAGGACGATTTCGGCCACAAGCATGTTGTTGTCCTTGGGGAAATGCTGACGAGTTGCAGCCTCCGTCTCCGGGGTAAGGCCGAGGCGTCTGCATTCGTCAAAAGGCTTGAGGAGGAATTGGCACTGAATGTCACCTCTTGTGACGGGCTTGCCCTGACGGATGCATTCCAAAGCTCGTAACGGCCGATCCAGAGGCAGGAAGTAGTCTGTCGAAGCACCATCAGATCGCCCACCAGCTTGCAGGGCTACGGCAAACCCGTCCACGTTCACAACCGGACTGCCAGAACTACCACCACTGGCGGCAGCATTGGCTTGGTAGTAGCAGGTGTTGAAGTCGCTGTATCCCTCTCCGTATTCCGGCGCATTTCGGTCTAGACGACTGATGAAACCAGACAAGATACTGAGCTTCTCTCCGGCATCGTTACCCACCACTCTGATCTCAACACCAACTACCAACCTGTTAGCGGATCCACTTCCAAAATGCTACCCATCAAGGTATTGCCTACCCTTCGCAAGGTCCGGACGAAGCACCAGCGCGTTCAGCTTCATGTACTTGACAGCCTTGGGGTCGAATCGAAGAATACCGAAATCGTGAACGGGGTCGCGGTAGACGGGGTACGCATCAACCTCCTCGTGGTTGTCGAAGACGACGTAGCCCCAGAACGGTCCGGATCCAACGACGTGTCGGTTCGTCAAGATGTATCTGTAGTCCACTTCGTCAGCCCTCTGCCTGCCTATGATGACTTGCCGCCGTAAATCCTCGTCTTACCCCTTCTGAGCGTCCACCACGAAGCCAGTCGCCTCACTCGTTAACGCCGCGTCCGTGTCAAAGGAGCATGTCTGGCAGAAACGAATGGAGACTACATTGCTGACGACGTTCTCAATGGTCTTTTGCCACGCCTCTGGCTCCTGCGTCATGGGAAACATGCCGTTCAGCCGCGCGGCATCCTCAAACTCGCTCTCCTCCTCAATCTCCTCGACGCGCTCAACCTCAGGCGTGTTGTCGCCGGCAGATAGTTTGCCGTTCAGCGCGCGATGCTGCTTATGGGGTCGCAGGCCCTCAGGGCTCGTAGGGGCCTTGCGCTTAGAGCGCGGCGATGCGCTGTTGCCGTTCATGTTTGCGGTCTCGGTCGTTGTGGTTTGAACAGAGGGTTGTTCGTTTTGCTGTTGCGGCGCCGACGAGGGATCAGGTTCGACGGCGGCTGAGTAGGGGCGGCGAGTCTGGGCGCAGATGGTTCGTCGCGTTGTCTTATAGCCGGTGTCTCTGGATGAAATGGCTCCAGCTATACGGGAGTAGCCGCGTTGTGCGAACGGGAGGAGCTCGAGTTGGCGTCGAAAAAGCTGGGGGGAGGTAAGGGTGAAGGCTGTGGTGGTGGTGGTGGTGACGGTGGTGGTGGATGCTGTCCAAGGTCGTCGTGCTAGTACTGCCGGGGTGGATGCAAGGCTCAAGCAAGTCCCTCTGCCTCCAGTGAAGACGGAGCGCATCCAGCGAGAGAAGGTGGAAGAAAAGGATGGCAACCTCCAGCTGTGGATACGAAAAGGAACAATGCCTTTGTCAAATGAACGGCGGGCAATTGGTTGTCCTGGCTATCAGAGTAGAGTATGATTGAACCTCAAGCTGCTGCGCATGTGATCCCTCCAGAAGTGTGGGAGAGGCAATCTAGCAGAGTTGTACTGGAACGCGAACACCTTTTCCCAACGTCGTTTGTCGTCAAAAAATTTCAGGTGCGGGACGATGGCAAACAAACAGGATCTGTCCGATATGGGGGTCACCCAAGTGAGATCACCAGGCTAGATGCATAAGAGCCCGCTTAATGGGTGCATGTCCCGGGTGGGTGTCCATCCCTGCTAATTTTCTCCACTAATTCCCCGGTTGCTGATGTAATGTGACACTAGCGTCCCTGTTGAGGCCTGTACAGTTCGCTAAGGCGGTCTAGCAGCTTTGCAAAGTTCACTTTAACACTCTTGACGGCAGACGTCAATGAGTGTGGTGCCTGGCCCGCAGACCGAGATGGGACGGAATGGATCATGCTCTCACGCAGCACACCACCAACGACCGAACTCCAGGCTGCAAGAATATGCAGGTCTCACAACGTACTGCTCGAATGACCGGCCGGGATGCACCTTGGATGGAAGTCTATGTCCAGCGACCTGATTCGTTGGAGAGCCGGTTTATCGATTGTCGGGCGCGGTTTCGGGGCTTCATCACCGCCCACCAAGTTGCTTGATATTGTGTTCCAGTACGAACAATCATTCGTCGCCACCGATTTCCAGCCCCATCTGATTCCAAGCTATCTTTTTCTCCCTCGATTTACGGGCTACGGCATTGCCCCATTAGAGGTTACGGAGAGACCGCGAATGAGCGCGAGGCCTAAGACGATGAGCACAGCAAGAGTGTCAAGAGATGAGGGTAAAGAGTATCCCATTTGATTTCTGATGGCTTAAACTACCTCAGAGACGTATGCGAACGCAAGAGCAATGGGTCGCACGTTCTGTCCCCCTTTCCAAGCCAATTCAGAGTAATGTCCGTTCCTTGCGCGGAACCCAATGAAAACCAACCGCAGCCATGTAGAGTGAGACGGCTATCCAGCGATGGTAGCAAGCATTAGATAACCTACTGCTCGCCATCCTTCTCATCCTTGGTCTCGACCTGGGTCTCAGAATCAGCTTCAACCTTAGCCTCAGCCTCAGTTTCCTGAGCCTCCTCGGCCTCGGCCTTGGCCTGGGCTGCCTTCTTGGCAGGGGTACGACGCTTCTTCGGAGTGCCATCTAGGTGGTGATAGATCAGCTACATGCACAATTGAGAACCATGGCTTTCAATGTGATACTTACCAGCGTTGGTCGCCGCAGCGCGCTTCTTGGGAGTCACCGGCTTGGTCTCCTCGCTGCCTTCCTGGTCGCCGTTGGCCTCCTCGCCATCCTCGGCGGCAGTGGCAGCCTTCTTCTTGACAGCAGTCTTGCGGGCTTGGGGAGATGTCAGTTTGAATCCAGACATGAGTAGAAAAGTGATGACTTACGGGTCTTCGGCTTGAGGGCAGCGGCCTCTCCGTTCTCGCCGGTGTTGATCTCACGCATCTGAGCGATGATAGCAGTCCACTGGCCCTGCAGGGCCTTCAGAGTGCGGCCCTCCATGTTGACGTTCTTCCAGTCAACTCCCTTGCCGTCGGGAAGCACGGTCGCGAGAACGCGGAGGACAAGCTGGAACTGTACATCCGTGTGTTAGAGAATCTGGAAAATAAAAGTGAAAATGCGACTGAAGCCAGACTTACACGCTCAGCATCGGTCCAAGCACCGACGCGACCAGCGGCAGGAGTCGCTTCGCTGCCGTTAATGGACTTGGTATCAGCCATGTTGAAAGAATGGTATTCTTCTTTTCTGTAAGTTCGATTCGTCAGTTGCTGAAGACCATGTGTATGCAGTGCTGATGGAAAGTGTGGGAGGTGAGAGAAAGATCAGGATGCGAGGACAAGAGATGTGAGATGCGAAGGCAGTGATGGAAATAACAACAGTGACGAGAGATAGAAGAAGGTGCGAGAGGGTGAAAATGAAATTGAAATTGAGGGTGATGGCGATGATGATGGAGGTAGATTGAGTGAGGCAGGTGAGAGATTCGGGTTTGCGAAGGTGTATTGCTCACATGCAATGGTCGTGGTGATAAATGATGAAGTTATTACAGCTAAGCTGTGTTGCTGAGGTGCGATAGTTTGCGTGAGGGTGAACAAAGTGTGAGGGTGAGGAAGTGAGAAGGGTGGAGTGAGAGGGTGGAAGAGCTGGGTTTTATGTGAGAGCTGGATGAGAGTGAGGCAGGCCTCTAGGAGTGTAAATCAGGAAGGAAGGTCAGGGAAAGGCTCAAGGTGTCTCCTTCCTCGAAAGTTCTGTCTTCCCAGGGGGGTTCGAGCTGCCTAGAGCTCTCCCAATGAATGAAGGATGGAATCCCTCTTTGGAGTCAACTCCTATGAGGAAAGAAGGAAGCAGAATCTCAGGAGGAAGGCAGATTCCATCACCCTCGCTGAGCCAAAACATGCAATAAGTGACAATCTCAGTGATGATATCCCACTTTCCAGGCAACTCCCCCAAATCCCGAGAAGAAGAAAATGAACCAAAAGACTTGAAAAACTTTCTTTACTCACATGTTGCAACTCAGATGCTTGAGTAAGATTCCCAAATTGTGTCCGTATTGATGCCAGCACATGTTTCCAGCAAAGTACTGAGGCCCCTTCCCAAAGCTCGACTTGGGCTTCGGCTTGGGAGGTCTCAGCGGAGGGAGCGTAACGGCCTCCTTCCGCGCGCCAAGGTCGGTCTTCGCCATGAACGATTCGACTAAAGTCGATAAAGGGGGTAGCGAGTATATGCAAAATAGAGCAGCTTTTTGCTCGGCGTTTCGATTCCGTAAAGCGACAAACGATGACGAGGCTTGAGCCTTTCGAAGATGGGCAATGATTGCAAACGCAAGAGGTTTGTTCCAGGAAACAGTTCAGAGAAGAGAAGAAAGGTAAAGAAGCTTTCCTTGGATTAAAGTCACAACATAAGCGGAGCAAGATAATTCCTTCACGGGATCGTGAGATTGAGGAACGTTCCGGACCTCGAGGCATGCTCATGTCTCCGCCTCTTCTATTTGAGGGGAAGAGAGAAACAAGTAGTAAGCAAGGCATGTGGTTGTGAGCTCAGGGACACAAAGGACGACACGAGCACTCCGTAGAAAGAAAATGGGACAAAACGGAAAGGATAGCTAAAGAAAGGGAAAGGGGGTTGGTTGGCAGAAAATCAGGAACTCGCGATGACTTCGATGTTTATTGCGTTGGTGTTGATGTAACGATCTAGGAGAATCTCCTCTATTGCTTGGAAATCCACGAAACATTCCCTTCCCATTCATCTACATGGGCAGCGGAGGATAGAGACTGCCGCAACCAAAACGAAAACAGTGACACAGCGAGATATACACGAGCAGTAGAAACAAAATCACAACGACCAAATGCATAATTCTAATGTTGCTGGTTGTCTATTCGTCTCCCCATGCCTTTTCAGCTCGGAAAGTTTCAACCAAGCTTAATGGAGATAGCCTCAGAAGGGGCATAAGAATCTGATACGTATTACACAACCCGATCCACCCACAGTAGCCAAGGCACGAAACAACCAAGGCCTGGCCATGCGAGACCGTGATGACTGGGGGTCAGCACAGTCGTAAAGAATCGAGCCGAAGAACCCCAAAAACCCAACGTAAGAGAGCAAAGTGCAAAATGTAGCGCAAATATGGGTGTATACACACACACCTCCCTCTTCGTCTATGTCATAATGGTATGTCGCCGTTAACAATGTCGGCGAGTGAGTGTATGTGCAACGCGGCCTGGTCGATTGTGCCAGTCAAGAGAGACAAGGTCGAATCGTGATTAATATCCTCCCAAATGCCGGGTATCGTTCCGTGTCGTTTCCCATTTAGTCCGAGCTGTCGTCAAAGTTGAAAAATACACCTCCGTAAGGTAAGAACAAGGATTTCGAGGCCAGTAGAATCCTTCCCAAGCAGAAGGCGCAAACAGAATAAGAGCCTTCACTTATGCCATCTTGCCCTTGTATACCATGAACTCGCGAATGCGTGCTTCATGGTCTTCGCATGCGACAGCCCACTTTCTTCGAACCTCCTTATCTTGTGCCATCCACTCAAGATATTCGTGAATCTCATCATCGCCGCGAGAGACGAGGAACGAATAGCCCTTGCGAGCTCGGAGATCGGCGATGTTTGCCTTGCGAGCGTTGAAATGCTCAATTACTTGAGCGTTGAAGATTTCCCATCTCAAAACATAGCTCTGGAAGTCCTGGGTGTACTTCTGCCAGGCACCGCCAGTCGGCTTCAAATTGACCGCGAAAGTAGGCGGGGGTCGGGGTGCTTGCGGGATGACCGGGAAATCGAGCGAAGGTTTCTTCTCCTTCTCGATCGGAGCGCGGCCTGACGGCTGACTCTCAAACGGCAGACTCATCTTGAGATCATTCAGAGAACCTAGGCCAGAAGAGTTTTGCGCGAATGGCGCCACATTCTTGAGGTCAGCAAGGCTGGCCCTAAACTCCTCGCTGTCTTCAGAACCGGCATTGTTCGGGTTGAATTCTGGCTTGCGCGCAGGTAGCTTCGGGCCGTTTTCTTGCAAGCCGTTGCCAGGCCTCCATTCCGGACGAGATGGTTCTACAGGAATGTTTCTCGCGCTGTTCGAATGATCACGCTTTTGAGAAGTCCCAGTCTGCGGGGGATCGATGTCCATAGCATTCGGGCTGTTCGCACCGATAGGCTCCGCCATTGACTTTCGTCCTCTCCACTCGGTCTCCTCGTCACTGTCGTAGTCATCATTCACCAGTCCTGCATTGCCCCCTGCTGTCGGCTTAACCTTGGTCTTCCTAGAGTTGACTCGAGAAATTCGGGTAGGAGATGTTGATGTAGAGTGCGTCTTGTGTGGCACGAAGTTTTGGGCCCCAATCTGTTGGGTCCAGTCTTGAGCATCAAACTTTCCTTCCGCAGAAGGTGATCCTGCCGGCTGGCCCGACATGTCCTTCTGGTGTCTCAAGCTGGGGCGCTTGATTGGCGATCGACGGCCTACGCGGCTTCCGGACTGTGAACGAACCTTGGCGGCTTGGTCCTGGATCGGACTGCCGGCGCTGAACTTCCAAGCATCTGGACCATCACCGTTTACAAAGCTAGTGTCAATTTCCTCAGTGCTCCTACGGCTGAAACCTGGCTGCTCTGGTGCGGCGGTTCGGGCAAAGGTGTCATCGTCGATCGGGAAATTAAAGCTATTGGTAATTTTCTTGTCAGCTTGGTTCGGTGTAATATCATGATGAGTGTCAATCGTGTGGCGCTTGTCACGAGAAAGCGGCGTCAGGTCTGGCGCCTGTCTTTTGACAAGCTTGCTCAGAAGTTCGCCCTGCTTTCGCTCGAATGGCGTGAGTGAGTCGCTCCTAGACCTATCTCCACTAGGAGACGGCGAATCATGCAGTTCTGCGTTGCTCGACTGCTCAGGGAGCGGAGGCTGCGATGCCTATCGTGTGCATGCCTCTGCTGCTGATTTGCGCCGCAGGCTGGGGACCGCAAAAGAAGGAAAAGGACCTGGGGGAAAAGATGTTCCGTACATTGAAGATCCTTGTGCCGTGTGTATGTTTCCCGCTCCTGCGAAGTCATTAGCTCTTGCCGGGTCATAACGCTTTAGAAAATCCCACCATTAGGATTCTGGGAAGCAGTGGCTTTCGCCTGCGCATTGTTCGGACCAGGACCAGTGGCCGTGTTCGGCGGGGTGTATCTTGCGCTTGCGCGGGATCTAAATGGGTCCTTAGGTGAGTTGGACGCAGTTGCAGTCGCCGTGTTAGGGCGGTCCTCTTGCGGCGTCGAAGTCGAAGTGCGCGGGCTCGACGGCTCAGTCCTTGCTTGACGGGGGACACTCTGAGCACGTTGACGAGCGCTGCCAGGCGAGAGATTGGGGCCGTAGCTTTCCTGGGGTGGTCGAGGGCTTTCCCGGGTGCTTTTGGCCCGTCCCACAGAGATGCCATCGAACGGATTCAGTTTCTCGCCGCCATGTGACATGTAAGGAGTGCTTTGGCGAGAATCTGAGTCCCTAAATTGTGCCAGAGGGTCTGGTACTCCTGCCTCTTGTTGTCTGCGCGCATTGTCTGCGAAGATGTTGGTGTGCCGGGATGAAGTGGAGTAGTTGGACGAGTTCACTGGAGGCTCATCCGCAGGGACCGGCGAATGAGGAGTGTAGCCAGGTTTCCGTCCAAAGGAAGCCTCTGCCCTCTGTTTCTGAGAAGGAGTCCGGGGGACAGGCCGCTTTGGAGTCTCGGGGGCCTTGGCGGGCTTTGGCTGAGACTGGCTGGCCCGACCCTTCATATTCTCAAAAGCGTGCCAAGCATTCCGCTTCGCTTCTGGGTCGTCTCTCGTCTGCGCTTTGGCTGTGGGAGCCGCACCCGAGGCAAAGTTGCGGTATCTACTGGCTCCTGAGGCTGGCGGAGGCGGCGGCGGATTGCGAGCTGTCGCGTTACGACGAGGTGGGGGAGGAAAGTTGGCACCGGCGTTCTGCCAGGGATTGCCTCGGACTCCGGACGCTGTGGGATATCTCGATCGTGTTCTCCCGGCATCGTACTTGGCTCGTTGTTGTGGGTCGGTAAGAATTTCATGGGCGGACTGAATGACCTGGAATCGGGAGTTGACTTCGGCTTCTCTGCCTGGGTTTCGATCAGGGTGGTACTTGAGTGCTAGCTAGGGTTAATCGACTCGTTCGATAGGAAGAGATCAGCTTCACCTTACCTAGCTTTCGAAACTGTTTCTTGATCTCATTCGTATCTGCGTCTGCCGGAAGCTCCAGGTCCGCGTAGTAATCGCGGCTCATGTCGACTCCTCCCATCCTGACGGTGGATTGGTGCTCGACAGACTAAAGACTCTGGAAGTGCAGACTGTTTTGTCCAAAACGCATGCCAAGCTTAGGGTATCTCGATGTGGCGAAGATTTGTAGAGCCGTAGACCAAACGAAGCACGGTCAAAGTTATCGAAAGTAGCTTCGCCTCTCGTCTGTGTTCAAGGTTGCCGGGATCTAGAAACACAGCCTTGTGTTGGGTAGGTCTTGGTGTGGCGTAGCTTAGAAGTGTCGCCTGCGTAATCGGTGGCTGAGCAAAGTGACGTGACAGTCGAGATTCGCAAAACAATCGGGTTCTCCAAACACCGTTAATTCGATCCGGGAAACGTAGTCGCAATAGCTGTCTGCAGTTCCGCTTTCTACCACGTTGGCAGACGTAGGTTCGTCTTCGGAAGGTCGATCGAAAGTTTTGGGTGTCTGTGAGAGGGGGTAAGGCAAAAGAATGAGTGGACTAAGGCAGCAAAGGAAGTCAGCAGTCGTGTCACGGGTAAATTGGAAGAAAGTAGAAGATGTTTCGCAAGCGGAAGTTATGGTGATGAAGGGCACGCCAGTAGGTTTAGAAGAGGTAAGCAATCGCGGAAGCAACACAAGGGTAGCAGCCTCCCAGTTGTAAGATGACAGGAAGAAGGTCGGCAGCTGCTCCCCGCAGATCTGGAAGGTTTGGTGTTTGTTGCCCCTCGCAGCTCGCAGCGTTATGTTGAACAGGCGACTACTGCACAGCAACAAGGATATGCGTTGATGCTAGATGACGGAAGCAGGCACCGTGGGGGGAGGAAGAGAAGCGATCTGAAGCAGGGTAGGCTCGCCGGGCTGAGAAGTCGAACCAACCAGTCGACGAAGGAACTGGAGCCGCAGGAAGTTCGCCGGCAGTGATTGGCCCTTCACCGTCGTTCTGCTAGACAATCTCACATAGAAGAAGACGCGGGGATGATTGGATAGATGCGATGCGCCGTGCGTGTGTGGGAAAGCAACTCACCGAGATGACGTCAAACTGGGAAGCAGCTGCAGCAGCAGCAGATGCCAAAAGCTGACTACCGTAGGCGTATGTCGGACGAGAGCCGCGGGTGCCCGATAGGAGAGGCGAGATGGAAGAGACGCAGCTGTAATGCGACGTTGTTCCAAGGAAAGGGGTTCGCGGGTAGTTCGTCAAGACGAGAAGAAAGGAGCCGCATCGGCAGTGTGCGAAACCGAAAAGGAAGAAGCAAATATTAACTGAACGTTTGTTTTTGACGGGCCGTCCAATCCACCTCTGTCCGTTCGGTTGCGCGGGCAGCAAGGAGGGATGGATGGGGTAAAAGGGTCTAGTTTTTTAGAAGGGTTTCCAGGGACTCCCCGGCTACCTCTTGCCTGACCTGGCTCCTCAGCTGCCTCGAGCTCCCCGACCGTTGCCTGCCCTGCCCGCAGCCTGTCTGCGCCTACCTGCTTCTCTCCACTGACACGGACGCACCTCCCCGTTTGGCGGCAAGACGCGTGTAAGTATGCTTGAACCTAATGTGTTCTCGTTTTGGCAATCCCTATGCCTGAATACCTTACCGTTTCTATCATATACGCCTCTTGGAACAACATCCGTGAAAGGCAGTGAAAGGGTAAGGTATCTACGGATAGCCGCGCACGATTACCATCACGCCGCCTCCGTGGTGGGGATCTCATCGCCTCAAGCCTCACCCGAGTTGCCTAACCTTTCTTTAGTCAGCCTATCCATCTGGGCTAAGCCACCGTTCTAGCGTAGAACATCGGCAGGCGTGATGCACACCCAAGCATCGCCTGGACAAAACGAAGCCGAGTATGAAGTTGGAGGCTGGAGCTCCCAAGAATGCCCCAATTACGGATACCTCGTATGCTCTAAACGCTGCGTTGATTCGACGGCATCTGCGCCGATGCATTCCAGTCATGTGGGATGACCTCAAATCTCGAGAGACAAGACGTTTGGAGGCGAATCCAGTCTTCGGCAACCTCGTGCCGGCCTAAGCTGACACTAAGGTAATTAGACAATAGCTTGAAAATCCCCGACTGGAGCTATCTGAGCTGAGGCCTCAGAACCCCCAATTTCGCCTTACATCTGTTCAAGACACATTATCCTCAAAACGTCTTGAGCCAGATAACATTGCCTATACGAGCTTCTTGTGGCCAAGGAACCAAATTGCTCTCCAGCACATTAAGGTGGCTAATAATATAGACATCCCAAAATTGCCGTTGCCCGGACTCCCAGCTTGGTTCATCTGCGGTAAGCCCGCCGGACGCCTCCCCCGCATGAACCCAAGTCCACGCGAGTTTAGAGCCCACTACCGCGCCGGTCGAACCTACGCAGCTACGTAAACATCCCAAAGCCGGTTTATTGCTTCTCACGAGTTTGAACCCCCTCCAAGTATTCGCAACAATGGCGAGAGGGGATGATCGACCGTACACCTTGCCTTAGGACCGAACACATATGCTAGACGACGTCAGGATCAGGACCCGCCCCCGCCATCTAGACAGACAAGGGTCATACGGATGTCCAGTGCATCAGCGACGTTCGTCTTTCGTAGCGGTCGTATCACAGTAAATATGGTCTCAAGATAACCTACTCGATGGACACAGGTAGCTAGAACCTCCCGCATCCTTGTCAAATCGACACCATTCATCTTGAATCGCCCAGCACAAGAATAGGATGGGTACATTTCACATGTATCTATGGGTATTTTCTCGGCTCAGTCGCATCCCCTCGCTAATGTCACTAGATAGCCTGGACACTTTTCGAATATTCATTGTCGAGACTTTGATGTCATGGTTGTCACTCTAGTATCTGAAATCTTAACAGTTGCCCCAGAGCAGTCCCCTCTGCTAGCCGCCTGGCACAAATCAATCCTTGAACGCCATCGCTGTGAACTTGTTTCCCAGCCCCTCTGTGTTTTACTTTTACATGCATGGAAGACTGTAGCTCTTATGTGGAAGTCGGATATTCTAGTCCTCGGTCCCGTAGCATCAATGACAGCCATCTCTGTGCGCTTTCCTTAAAGGCTCTCATGGAACCTCATAGCTGGGTCGGCGCAGTGGTTTTTGTCCATCCCTTGTTCTTCATGTTCGCCTCAATCGCCCGCCAGATCGACTCTGCAGCTTCCTTGTCCCTGAACTTTGCCGCCTCCTGAGCACCAGTTCCATCACGCCAGCGATCAACGCCGAGCTGCAACACGCGGTGGCCCCAGTCCTTGACGCTATCTGGCGGTTGCTCCCCGCGCCAGCCGATGAAGATGCCCAAAATGCGGCGGAACAGATCCGGGGGGGAGCTCCACTTGTAGTTCTTGAACTGCCACGACTGGCCAGTGGTGAAGACTGCGACAACACGATTCCAGTACTCGGGTTTGAACTGCTCAGGGCCTTCGACAAGGATGAAACGCATAGGCCGCGAAGGGTCGATATCCTTCATGATGCGAGAGACGTGTAGCATGCTAGCGGCAGCGCTGCCGTCAGGCTGCACGTAGCGTCCTTCCTCGAGGAAGGAGCGAATGTTGGACAGGCGCAGTAGAGAAGAGGCAGAGGGCGAGAGGAGGATAATCGGGTCTGGCCGGCGCGTCGGAGCCTTCTGGTTGAGCGCGAGGGATGGGTTGGCGCTGATGTTCGACGAGCCATTGGGCTTCTTCTGGATGAAGGGAACAGCGAGCTTGCGGACATGGGAGAAGTCCTAAGAACAATCGAGTCAGTCATGTGCAACTTGGTAGTGAGGTTGATTGCAACTCACCGTGTGCTTCACGCCGCGCAACACGGAGTTGCGATCCCCCATCTTGCGTTCTCCATTGTAGATGACCGCCAATCTAGGGTCCAAAGTGCCTCGTCCAGCTCGACTCGCCGCAGTTGCTGGGGCAGTCTTGGACGCGCTCGCACTAACTCCCTCCTTGCCGTCCTTGTCGCCAGCCAAAGGCTTGATGTGTTCACTCTCCTCACTAGCGCCTTCCAGCCAAGTGAACAAGTCTAAACGTTCGACAAAGGCAAGATTTTGGACAGTGCCTAGGCTGCCCAGCTCTTCGTTGAGGCGGGTCGCGCTCGCGTTGTATTCGGGAATCGCAACATCCTTGTTTAGCCAGGCGAAGTAAATGGATCTCAGGTCGACCGGGCGGTCGCTTGAAATGAAACGCGTCGGTGTCGAGAGCGATACAGAAACGGGAGCTGGGTGCGAGAAGAGTAGATAGGTAGCTTGCGAGAGAGGAACCTCGGTCGCAGAAGCATCGGCTGAAGCTGTGGGAACTGCAGGTCGTTTCGATGCGATGGATTGCCGCAGCAGGAGCAATGGGTCCTGCTCGTTAGCAGCCATAATGATAAGTAGAAGAAACAATTAGGCTGATGAATATCGGGCCCTTGTAGAGCTTCTGAAAGCCTGAAAAGATGACCAAAAGGATTGGATGACCGAATTGAGCGTGATTGGGTTGTATGTGTAGATGCGACGGGGTGTTTGGCAGCCTCGAAATTTGGGGCTAGAGGTTCAGCCTCACTTGCTGGCCATCGCCATTTTCAGCCACATCTCGTGGTCCATATTAATTGCTCGCCAATGGAGCTGTGCCACAATTGGGCCTCCCCTACACCTCCAAACTTCAAGCTGCTTTCTCTCAACCTTGACCTACACTTCCCTATCATAATTGGCTTGGAGAACCCATGATTACTAGTGATGCCCACACAAGATAACAGGACCTTGAGAATACGTTCATTTGGTTTTTCCTAGGTCGCGAACAAAGGCTAAGCCAGCATCAGTCCCATATTGATCTTTCATCGGTCTCCGAGGTGATGGACACTTCTGATCCTTGGCGTCTGTCACTCATTTTATGCTCTACCTTGAGTGTTGACTCTTTTCTCCCCCTTCCATGATAAACACAAACTCCAGCACCACCCGATAAGTGTTTAGGGTTCGCCGGACACATTGCACTACTGGGTAGGTGCTCCGGAATATCGAATTCGAAATTGCGAGGTCCTGTTAGTCTCCGCTTGGGTTGTATTCGTTGCTTTGCTTCCCACCACTCCTTGGG